TTGAAAATCATAGTAAGTTAGATTTTCAGTATTTGATGGATATTTTATTTGTAAAAGTAAAATTGATTAAAACAATAAATGCAGATGTATTAAATATTTTCTGAGTACATAGAGTTTGACAGATTTACTGTAATGTCACTATATTAAAGATGTGTAACTTCTCCGCCCTCTGGCGGTGGTGTGAAGAATTACACCGTGACACCTGGACCCAGCTGATCAAAAGTGATGTGATCGGCTTAAAGCTTTCAGATTGGATCAAATGTTGAGATCGTGTGGTTCAAAAAGAAAACAATAATGAAATCAAACTGGACCGTGCCATCCAGTCTTCCCATCCAGTTTGTGTTCTTTCAAATCTTACTTACAATCTTACAAATTGGAGAGTTACTAAATTGGTCAAACAAGATTTTTACAATGTTGAAGACGATTTAGATTTCTTTTTTATACATGTTGCACTTGAACTGCTGAATTGCTTCTGTGACGTAAAAGAGAAAGTAGACATTGGGGTTGTGAATCAAAAGATTTTTGCTCCATTAAATAATTCACAAAATATCCGATCATTTCAAACATGAAATATTTAAAGCTCCTGTGGGTACCTTTCGAGTTTGGTCGATTATCACCATACGTGTGGGCAAAGCAGCACTGTTTCAGTGCCCCATGGCAGCAGTAACACCCATTAAAAATAACTATCACAATAATAAATCTTCTCTCTGATGGTCTTATTAATCATTGTAGGTCACCAAAAAAGCTTTTTGTATTAATTTCAGTCTGTTTTTTTATTATAACCAGGTTAATGCACGTCATTGGAACTTTAATTAAAGCAGCTGTGAGGAGCTTTCATTTTGTGTGGATTTTGACGCCCTGTGTGGGCAAATTTTGTCACCAGCGGTCCCCATGGTAATCTGGATTTGGTCATCCTGAAATGCCGGAAGCAGGATGAAGTTACTCCAATCCAGTTTTTATTTGAAGCTCGTCTTTCTGATCTTGGTTAGAAAGAAAGAACATTTCCAAATCATGATCATTCTTATCCTGATCAAAACTTTCAAACAGAGCCCTGGATTAGGTTTTTATCCTCCGTGTGTGCAATGAGAAATGCACTTTAAAATGACCGTTATAGAAACTTGTTTCATGATTTATAAGAAAGATTGACAAATAGAGATTCAGAGCTCTGGTGACAATAGACCCCTGCTATAGTAAGAAGACATTATGACAATGTATTATTTTAAGCGGGGAAAAAGGCAGAATCCTTTGTTATTTTACTTCTCCTATATCTTTTGCTGTGTGTCTAAGAACATCTCTTGCACATTATAAAGATAAACCCTGATCAAATGTTCCTCGCTGGTCCTCATGGTGTCTTTTTGTTGTTTGTGTTTTCCCACAGGGAGTGGTGGAGTTCTCTCTCTGTCTCCTTTTCGCCAAGCTGGTCAGCTACACCTTCCTGTACTGGCTCCCTCTCTACATCTCAAATGTTGGTGAGTGTTCCCACACAGGCTTTATCTGTATTTGAACATCATACATGTAACACAGAGTAATCGACAACATTCAAAGACATTCTCAAAGTTTTTATGTTTTTCATTTTCAGCACATTTTGACGCAAAGCAGGCAGGAGACCTGTCGACACTGTTTGATGCTGGAGGAATAGTCGGTAGGCTTTGAGTTTATACCACTTAGTCAAGAATGTGTTTGTTGTACAGTTGAAACAAACAAGGCCTCATTTTTGATTTGCAACCGATTGGCTTGATCGTAAATGTTTAGTTAAACACAACTGATGTGAATGTTAGAATTTGAAACTGATGAAAGTAAGCTTTCAACTTTTAACCCTTTATCTGAATTAATTAGGTGTAAATCTTAAATTTACATCTCTGCAACCTAAATCAAATTTAGCTATTTCAGAAATTCAGACTTCTCTCTTCTGGGTCGATCAGGTGACAGTAGAAGGCTTAATTGTTCATCCTTGATCTATCTGACATTGAAGTGTGACATTTCATCTCATATTAAGGATTCTGAATTAAAGAAAATGTGTGATTGTGTTCTGTGTCTACAGGAGGAATCATGGCGGGCCTCGTCTCTGACTACACTGGAGGCAGAGCAACAACTTGCTGTGTCATGTTAATCGTTGCTGCCCCCATGGTGAGTGTACACACGGTTGCAATGTCGCCCTTTTTAATAAGTGTATTCCTGGCTTCTTCTTTTTTTTACCTCTTAAAGGTTGAATTGTATCACTCCTGCTAATTGTCCTGTTTGTCTTTCAGCTTTTCCTCTATAATCACATTGGACAAAGGAGCTTAGCTACGACAGTCGGTAAGACTGTACTACTCTACTTCTGTTCTCCTTTTTCCCTTTTGCTTCGTCTCATGTTTGATGGAAAAATAAAAAACAGAGGTTTAGGATCGTACTTCATCAGACTGCATGGTGTTTCACTTACATGTAACAGTAAAGAGGAAGAATTTATCACTAACAGGTGGAGTTGTAACCCTCTATCTTCACCTCAGTACCAGTGTTGAACTAATGTTTATCCCACATCTTGTTGTTCCTGTTGTATAATTTTTTACTGAAATCCTGTCCAGTCTTGGTATTAAGTACAAGATAAAGTCATCAGAAATAAATGGGAAAGCTGCTTTTTTATATACAGTGAAAAAATATAATTGACATTTTCTAAAATGAGGTGTAATTAAGTCTTTGTTTAGAGTCTATATTTCTATTTGAAGGTATGCTGCTGTTATGTGGAGGCCTGGTGAACGGACCGTATGCCCTCATCACTACTGCTGTATCTGCTGACCTGGTAGGACCTGAAGCATCATGGGAAACTTACAGTTTTACAAATAGCACTCACAGTTTCTATTGGACATCAATTCAAAATATAAATCTGTGTACTTACTTGAATTTGTGTTTTTCACCAGGGGACTCATGCCAGTCTGAGAGGAAACTCCCGGGCGCTGTCGACAGTGACGGCAATCATTGACGGGACCGGATCAATCGGTATGTCTGAAACCCTGAGATCCAGAATCCTCACGTTGTAGTTTTTTAATGTGCGGTTTAATATAAATCTATATCAACTCTTGGTATGTTATCGTCCCTGCACAAAACAGATGAAGTTAGCATTTAGCCCCTGAGGAACTTAAAGTCTAGAATGGTTTCAGCCTATGGAGGATAAATGTCTTTACCCGGAGATTAACTTAAAAATGAAAAATATGAAATAGACTTATATTATGTTTCAGTACTTAGGAAAAGGAGATGAGAATCTCAGATGATAAATAAATGTTGGTGGAAGAAAGGTTAAAAAGGAAAGTGAAATTAAAGATAATTTAAATTAAAATGTGTGCATATAAAGTATACAGAATTTATTTTTTACCCATAAATGTAAATGGTTTGAAGGTTTCAGCTTTTAAGCATATAGTAATTTTTGTGGTCAATATATTTAAAGCCTTTAGGGTAGAAACTTTTCTCTTTTGTTTTACATAGAACGAGTAAACAGCAAGTTTTCTGTTTAATGATGTGTGTTGATGTGTGTGTGTGTTTTCTGTAGGAGCTGCTTTAGGTCCTCTGTTAGCGGGTGTGATCTCTCCCACTGGCTGGAACAACGTCTTCTACATGCTCATCTCTGCCGACCTCCTGGCCTGTCTGGTTAGAAACACCCACCTCTCTCTTTAATATTTTGACACACCTTTTGTAATCTCACAGCTCCTATCATACTTTTAGATTATTGAATTGTCCTGATACATGACGTTCCTATAGATTGTTTTTATGACGCTCTGACTGACACATTGTTTTTGTGTGCTTCAGTTTTTGTCCAGGCTCGTTTACAAGGAAGCTCAGGGTTGGTGTCGACGAGCCCCCCGAGGACGAGGGTGAGTCTCACCACCAGCTGTGCTTTTCCATCAGTGATGACCTCTTAGGAACATCGCATTCATGTCTTACATTGATTACCTCATCATGTGCTAATTGATGATGATGTGTTAATCGGCAGGTTAACATCTCTTACTCAGGTTCAAAGCAACTAACCTTCTTTTTGTTCACCCTTTCGTCCCAGGTTCAAAGAAATCTAACATTCTCACGCCATCAAACTGGGAACCAAACACATCTATGAGGGGAACAATGCCGGATGACCTCATTGAACAGTTGCTCACCTTCTTTCATCAATCTGAATGGAAACAGAAAGCCATCAGTGGAAGATTCAAGGCACTAAGCTCATGATTAAAGCCTTCGTCTTATTGTTTAACAGAGAGAATTATGCCTTTATAGAGACAACGACTTTTTTATGATTATTACGACATATTCTAACTTGTTTGTTTTAAAATTATTTTACCATTAAAGTGTACATACTGTAAATATCTCTAAATGTTGTACTTTTCTGTCTCACAATATCAAACGTCATATTAATCAACAGATAGATTATCTATTTATTTATCTATAATATCCCACATAACATTTTGGTTGCAGTCTGTAGTCTGCTGTCACCAGGGTGGATATTTTTTGGACTCTATGGTTGTAAAGAAAGTTATCTATGTTGGCAGAGTTACAGGAGGTCCTGAGGGTCATCCGATAATCACAGGGTTGGAGCTTTGATCCCCAGCTCATCCTACCAACATGTCAGTGTGTTTTCTGTTTCTGTTTTTAAAGAGGACATATACCCCCTTTTCCATATTTTCAAACAGTCCCCTGTGGTCTAAATGAAACATCTGTGCTGTGCTTTGGTCAAAATTTAACATGAATCAAGCACCAGAGGAGGTTTGTGACCTTGTAGAAACCAGCTCTCTCAGAATGCTCCGTTTTGGTGTGTGTGTCTCTTTAAATGCAACAAGCCCCCCCCCCCCCCTGAGTTTTCCCGGTAGACGTCTCTCCTTCACTAGTGAGAATAAAACATTTTACCCACTTGCCGAGATCAATCAGACCCCCTGCAATGTGTTGCATAATGATACATTAAAACACAGTAAACCCATAACACACATGGCCATCCTCTGATTAATGACAGCTAATAAAATAAAGAATAAAGAACAATTCCCTTAGAGGATGAAGTCACTTTCAGCTTTAATGACATCAGTAAAAAGTCATTAACATTAAGAAGTACCTGCTGTAACACCTTAGAACGAAAGACTTTGGTACCACTGCAAACGTCTGAAATTACGGTACATAAAATATACAATGGATAAAAAAAAAACAGATTTAAATAAAAGGTCCAATAACAAACAAACTTTTCAAAGTATTCTGACATCTAATCTTTATCAGGAACCATCAGGAGAAAAGTGAACAAAAGATAGTTTCCATCATCAGCTCTGGTTGGGACTAGTAGAGATCGACATTTGCTCTCATCTCTTCACAATCACAGGAGAGGAAAAGGAGATATTCTGTTATTTTTACTGTCACTGCAGTCTCAAATGTTGCTATGTGCAAAGTGGACATAACACCTATCTCTATTCTCTTCTTCCACTATTCACTAAACAAGTTTTTTCATTTTTAGGATGCATAATGCTGTGACACTTGATTCTTTCCTAAGACCAGAGTCTCCCTGAAAATAAGCACTTTAATCCACATCTTTACAATTCCTCCAATCAAGACAATAAATTTGTACAAAAACCCAGATATTCTTAGAGAAACATTGTGACCACACTGTAGTGTTGTGTTGACGGGAGAAGTGTATGACAGCAGGGTTCCCATCTTTCTGTTTCTCCTTTCAGAACAGCAGTTAAGTTTATACTCTAATGATGGTCATTGAAAGTGGGAGCTCCAAACTAGTATTCTTGAAAGCATCAGAAAAAGTAGAATGCTACGTATACACATTGGACTAATTTGACAATTTTAACTTAAGCTCCTTTTAGGAGCTTTTAGCTGGCAATGAAACAAGCTCAAATGTACATTGTCGTCTCTATATGACTTACAAAAGCAAACAAGACCATCAGGAAAATGACTGATGATTCTATAAAGTTATAAATGTTTTTACACCTGAAGATTTATGCTTTGAAGATAAAATAAGGTACTTTTTGCACCAGTCATGAATGTTCAGATTAAAGATTTATTAAGTGTTTGGACTGCTTATTTATTTAGACAGGCTAGCAGTACACAACTAAGCATAAACGTGGCGTTAAGAACAGCTTGGCACACCAATGAGTGAATCTAAACCTAACTCCTTCAACATTCAAACAGGTTATTTCAACCTCAACTTTTATAAAAACCAAACGGTAAACATGCTTTAACATTCCCACCTGTGTGAATAATATCTGTGTTTTTCTGTCTGTTCTTCATGTTTTGTGTAAAGAGTCACATGACCACAAATCAAACAGCTCGAGGCCGTTTGGTCTCGTGTATGAGCGTCTGTGTTTACAGCAGTGTGTCGCAGTCGTCTGCTTGTGCTGCTGTTATGTTTTTGTACGTCTCTTTAAGGTTTAAAGCTTGTAGGTGGTGACCTTGTTCATAACAGGGAACGTTGTGTTACTCCGTCACATCTTGGGGTGTAAGTGGGCATCCTTCTCAAACAAACATAAAAAAAAGCTTCAAAGGCTTGATATGATACAGTTCAAGTGTCTCAGTGATGGTAGGTGGCAGGATTCCATGCCCGGTACCAGGACCTACAAAACCAGAGGAGAGATAGATTACATAAGTGACAGAAATGTTTTCTATGCAGTCATTTATGATAACCTGTTTACAGAAATAATAAACATCCTGGGACTTGTTTTGTGTCTTGCCAAGATTTAGATGAGACGATCAACAGTTATTGAACTAGCTTGGAAATGTTAGGCACATAGCCTCCTATAAAGCTGTCATTTTACACTCAAACTTTGTCTTCTGGCTCAATACACAAGATATGACCTTAACCCGCTGAGCACTGAGGTTTATTTTGTTAGCATGGGCAGAACTGGCCCAAGAGTATGCTGGTAAATCTTTGATAGCATCAACGTTTCAGCATGAAAGCTGATATGCATATCTACTAAAACACTATCAATGGCTTTATGTCAAGTCCAGTCATATTTATTTTATTTTATTTTATTTTATTTTATTTTATTTATTTTATTTATTTTATTTATTTTATTTATTTATTTTTTTTTTTTTTTTTTTTTTTTTTTTTTTTATTGTCCAGTCATATTTATTTCTATTGCTGTTGAAAACAAAGTTCGCTGAGAAATGTCATTCCATATTTGGTTGATTTGCTCATTCGCTTCATTGTATAATTTCCAGCACAATACAACTTCTACACTGTCCATGAAATGTGCTTCTAAACATGGGTAAATTAAACAGTGTTATTATAATTAGACAGGACAGAAAATCATACAATACAATACAATAAATGTAATGCTTTTGCAATTTCAGACACCACATGTGTAGAAAATATTGAGATATCACATCAGAAATGTGTTAGTACAAATCTGCTTTTCGTGGCTCAATGATTCCATGTGTTGATATCTTTAAGGTTTTGTAAGAAGAGCAGACTGGCAGAGGGTGTTGAGTGAAAATGTTTTCCTACCCCGATGTGCTGTAGGAAGCTGGGTTGACGTGAGACGCTAATGACACTGAGGCTGCAGACAGGCTGTTAGGAGACGCTCCACGGCTTACACTATTTGGAGATGAATTTGATGAAACTGCAAGGAAAAGGTCAAAACATGAATAAATGTTCACACAAATGCAGAAGTCGATGTTTAGGGAAGTTACATGAATTCACTTATGTTGTAGAATAAACTGTCAAAATAAGGAGGAAACGAGCACAACAGCAAAGTGTAGACCAATTCTCAAAACGGGCCAATATTATGAATATAATACGGCTTTGTGCAATCACACTAGCACTTTAAAGGTGCAGGCTCCAGGGGAAATGTGCAGTTTACATCAGAACCTAATAATCATGTGCAATACTCCTTCACTTCTGCACTTTAATACTGGGGCACTTTACTGCCCATAGCAGCACTTTGAGCTCTCTGAAGGTCACTTCATCCTCGTTTGATTTGAACATTACACATCAGCTTTTTATGCTTGCATTTATGTGTCTCTGTGAACTAATGTACAGTGTATGTTTGGTTTTTGCTTGTCATTGTGGTTATATGTAGGCTACATTTGTATACACGAGAACCACCAACCTGCCAAGGTACTACAGATGGAAATTATCCTATGGATACAATCTTGCATATTTACATGTTTATGTTCATAAATGTGCACTGTACCTTTTTTTAAAAATAGATAAATAATAAGATTATAATAAACAGCTCGTTATGAAAGGTGTGTGTAGAAACAGTACTTGCCTCCACCTGAAGCCAGAGGACTGTAGGATCTTGAAGCTGACGCCTGAAAAAATGTGAAAAGGTGGAAGATAACTTAAAATCAGAAGTGTAAAACATATCTGCTCTCTAATTAAGACGCTCCATGTTCAGCAGTACATCACAAAGCCAACAGGAGCTGCTGTGTGTTTTCTTCCACTGTCCTCTGACGAACAAATGATCAAGAGAAAAATGTGTGTCAATCAATGTCAACAGGAACATCTTTAGAACATTAAATGATTAATTAGAGTCTACATTTATCTATTTCATTAGCCTGAGGGGTGCTCAATGCCTCAAGGTCGGGGTTTTCATGTACTACCGTGATAAACAAATATTTGAGTGATCATGGAGGACTTCTCTTGTGTTCTGAAACCTTTGCTGAACTTTGAGCTTTGTGTCTGTGAGTGGTGATAAAATCCAAATCAACTGGCATGTTTGTGAGAATAGAGCTGGAGTAAGGATGAGGTCAGCTGTGTTGGGGAAACTTTATTTAGTGTTGCAATGAGCTCCAAAAGTTAAGAAGTACTCCAATCAACTCCTGTTACGTTCAATATATCTGATTGTATCTATTATGTTGGCAAATGAAGTTCCCACACTGGAGTAATCACACTGCTGTTGCACGTTTTTTTCGACTGTTGTTATTCAAAGAGCCATCAACAAATCATCTATTGAAACCAAAATCCATCTTTTGTATGTTTTGGTTGGTGTAGAATTGGACAAATATAAAAAATGGATTCGTTGAGGGAGAATTAGATGTTTATGTGGACAAAGCCGAGGCCTCCTGCCTCCAATCTTTGTGCTAAGCTAGGCTAACCACTCCTGACCCCTGCTTAGTGAAATGCACCTGCCTCACTTTAAAAAAACTCAAAGTCCCATGTGTTGCTACATGAAAGAGATTAATCTTTTAGACAGCTAACCATTCTGGAGTTATAGCTGTGTGACTTCACCGATAAACTGGACACGGGGCAGTAGATCCTCTTCTCCTTCTGACGCCGATTACAGAACCAAACCCGGACCACCTCCTTCTCCATGGACAGCTGCTCTGAGATCAGGGTGATCTCCTCCGAGTTCGGCTTGGGGTTCTGAAAAAATGAAAACAAGTTTATAATTATATCTTCTTTATCTATCTATCTGCTTGGCAACCATTCAAATATTATAGGATGTTGTCATGTTCTATTTTATTTATACATTTTCATGTTCATTCATCATTAAGCAATGGACATGAACTTGACATTATGTCGCTCACTGCTGTTTAGAAAAACCTGTACGATATCTATTCAGTGTTCAACTTACATCAAGGAAACGTTTCTCCAAAGTCATCTTGATGTTTGTTTCAATGCTTGTCCTCTTTTTCCGTTTGCGCCCGTAGCCCTCGATCAGGGGAGGCAGAGAGCTGGTGTTGCTCATCGAGTCAGAGGGGGAGTTCTCTGTTGAAGAAACAAATATGACACAGATATTCATCATCTCTTTTTGAACAGCAAATCAATCCTGAAAGTAAGACACTGAAATGTCTGCATTTTGAAGTAGATGTCCTCATATGTCCCTGGAAATTACCTGCGTCGCTCAGCCATTTTTCCAGCAGAGGTTTGAGCTTGCACATGTTTTTGAAGCTGAGGTTGAGAGCCTCGAAGCGAGAAATTGTAGTCTGGCTGAAGTCATTCCCGTACAGTTTTCCCATGGCAAGGCCCACATCTCCCTGTTATAAAACACACACAAAAATACATGAGCTTTATCGCTCTTTAAAGCAAATTTTTTGCCAAAAAGAATCCAAATCCTTTTAGTGAGTGTCATTTTAGTCTTTGAATAAGCCCCTAAATATAATCTTTTTACTGTAAACCATTAGAGCACGGGCTTATTGTTAAAGATAATTTTGTGATATTGTTTAATTCTGTTCGAGTCTTTAATTACGACTGGTAACTTTGTCTATTGTATTAGTTCCCAACCTGGGGTCCTGCCCCCCCTAAGGGGAGGTGTCTGAGCACTCAGGTCTCTGTCTGCACTGAGGTTGTCAAAACTAGATTTTTTCATATTAATTAAATTCTGAACTAATATTGTTTACAACTGCATTTTTTTTTTAAGAACAAGTGTGTAGTTGTATTCCAATAGGATTTATTAATGAAACAATAAAAATGTATGTTCATTTTTAGAAAGCAATGTATCACTTTTTTTTCTCATGTGGGTCCAGGGGGGCTCAGCTTTTCTCACATACAAGTAGGGGGGCTACTGGAAAAATGTAAACACGGCAAACCGTTGTAATCATCCCATTTCCAACGTCTTGCCTTTGTTTCTCTTTTAAATACGTTTTTATCATTTCTTGTTTCATATGCCTGATCAGGATTTTCCCTTCTCATTACCTGAGTGAAGCCCAGCTTGATGCGTCTCTGTTTGAATGCTTTTGCAAACTGCTCCAGGTCTTCCAGATCACTGGGTTCATCCTGCGGTGGGACTGACATGTGTTTGGGCATCTGCAGGTGGGACATGTCCATGTGGTTCTCCATAGACGGTCCTGCCAGACCAGAGCGACTCATAACCTGGGTCATTAAAAAAAAAAAAAAAAACAGGTTTCAGGACAGATTTGAAATGGGTACAGACACAAAAAAATAAAACACGTTTTTTTCCTTTAAAGATATTTAGATTTTGTTTTACTGCTGATCGTTTGGTCTGTGCTGACAATGGACAAACCATACACTTCAAGATAGCTGCACTAAGGCAACACAAAAGGCTGAATTTCAAAACTGGCAATAAAGGTTTCCTATGAGTGCACAGTATTTAATGCACTTTTTGGAGTCTTGCTTTTTCTTTAAAAAATAGTTTAGAGTAATTTAAGAATCAATAAATATTTGAGCTTTTGGCAGCAGTAGAAACAAGCTGTGAACGAGGGCACTTCACATTTGATTTGTTTCTGTTGACCTGTTTAATGTGGATCCAACATTCACCATCTTTAATGTCTGTTTTTGATCCACTAACATATATGGAGGAAAATGTCATTTTGTGTTTATCGTTGGCACAGACAGTTCTCACCAGACCGGCAATCATGTTTCAGACGAGCATGCAGACCAACTACAATTCGTTCATTCTACTGGCTACATTTCAAGGAAAATAATATGTGTTATGTTCTCATATCTCCATTAAGTCACTACAATAAACCTTCAACTCAACTTTAATAACAACTGGAAAATCTCATTGTTTGCATCTGCGTAAGACTTCACCCCTACCTGTGTGTTAATGGCAATAATATGAGGAACAGCAGCAGGATAAAAATGAGTTTTGTTACTGTGATATTGGTGTTGCACTATGCTGTATGCTGTGTCAGACCAGTGTTGTGGATTTACCTGTGGAGTCAGAGCCAGTCCAGGCTGGTGCTGGAGGAGACTGTTTTGACCCTGACCCTGGAGTGACAACAGGTTCTGCTGCAGAAGGGCTGTAAGTAGAAAAAAACAAGTTAACATTTTACATTTATGTTTTACTGATTTATTCAAATCATTCACTTCATCTTTTTTTTTTTAAATTAAACACAAAATATCCTGGGTTTGTCAGTAAGATTGAAACATGCTACCGACAAAGGCAAGCTAACTGTTTCCCACTTTTTCCAGTTTTTATGCTAAACAGGGACAAAGAAAGGTTTTGCTTATTTTTACCAAAAAGTGGGTCAGTCAGCCTTTAAAAAAGCTTTAAATTAGATCACTGCTGTACATGTTGCTGCTACCCTTAATGATACTTATCCCAGAAAATAAGGCCCTCTTCCCCCCTGACTGTTCAAGACAGGCCTCATCCCTGCTGTGTGGATTTACTGTTTTACTGTATCAACGTTTTTAAGGACCTTGGTGGCTGGTGGGGCTCTGGGACAGCAGGAAGGGGGAGGAGGACGACAGGTGGGACGGTGGCATCAGAACCAGCTGCTGCATGGTGTGGAGAGAGGTGAGCTCCTGGAAGGAAAACAACAACCCCAGGTTTGGGTTTTTTAGAGATTGTCATGTGTATATACACCCTGCAGAGGAGGACAGTACATTCACACTGGTTAAGCCCTCTACATTAATATTTCCACTTCAGCAAACATTATTATTCTACGACACCACATAGCAGAAGCTAATTGTTTACATTTTCTCCTATTAGAATCAATATTCTGTAATGAATTAATAGTTGTGAATATTTGATGATTATTATACACCACTGTCAAAAGGGCCAAATGTCAAAGGAAAGTTTTTTTTTCTAGAAATCTTGCAGAAAACACACACAGTAAAGATCGCAATTGATAGAAGAGAGCAAGAATGTGCAGAAGTCTTTCGAGCTGAGCATTTAATCACTATTTTGTTGTTACTGGGATATCAGCATTGGCTTTAAAAGAGATTTCAAAAGTCAGAATTTGTCAAAATAAACTCTTTTAAAAAGCTTTATAAAGCTCTTTTGATGCAGTTAGTTGAAGCTCAAGCTGCTTTTCCTCAGATACCTGGCGCTGATTTAGAGGTGAAAAAATGTTCTTTTGTTTTTCTAACCCTAACCCTATATTTAGGATTGAGCAGAAACATTTTGCATGTTGCATTGTGTAGGCATAAAAACTGTTTGTTACAGCTAATATTGATTGTTATCCCAAGTTCCATATTTTTCTCATATCAAGCAGGGTTTGTTTTAATCTCTTAAAATTTTATATGATGTGAAACAAATTCAAGAGTCAAATTCCCTTTCAGTCCCTTAAAGAGGCCAAACCACTAGAATGGTGGATCCTACATTTCCCATGATGCAACACAATTAACTGTCTTTAATTAAACCTAACCTGCCTGTAAAATGTCAACATCTTACAAATTACACACGTGCAGCTCATAACTGAACATAAATGTGTAGTTTCAGAGCCAACGCTTAAAAAAAAACTCTGATGACATCACTATGACATCATCGGGATTATGTTGTAATTAAAAAACTTGACTTGTCACAGCTCTTATAGAGAAACAGGCGGCACCATACAAGTGTTATCGCTGGCTCTGCTCTCTTATGAACTTGTTATTTACAGCAGATAACGTTTCCATCGTCCTACTTCTACTTTCATTTCTTTACTGGGATCATCTCGGTGAAACCCAGTCCCGGATGAAAGTCATGTGTACACTCAAACATGCAAAATAACCCAAAGACATTCAGCGAGGCATGGTTCATTTCTACGTCTCACCCCTGTTAGCTGACCTCCCGGCATCGGAGAGCTCTGTGTGAGGGGACATGTCTTCAGCGTGGCGGCTGAATGATGTAAATCGTTGATATCCTCGGTCTTAATCTAAGAAAACAGAACCAGACATTAACATGTCAAAAAGGTGTTAGTTTATAAAGCTGAACAAAAAAACTTCTGTTTACATAATTTAAGGGCTAAATGGGTTCACATGTCTGTATGTGCTGTGCTCAAAGACAGTACACACACATATATAGACTCACACACACTCGCTCCAGGACCAGTTTGGTCACTAAACATGATACAAAGAGTGATAGACTCTCTACATAGCCTCGGGCAAGCCAGTATGCAAATATCAACCTCCCCTCACACACCAACCCCTCACCCCCTGAAAGACATGACACTTCCTGAAAACGCGAGCACTGAAAGAGATGTGCCTCCCTGCCAAAAAGAGTGTTTAGAGAAGTATTCAAATAGCTTCAAACTATTTGAGGTGCTTCCATAGAGATGGCAGTCATTATTGACATCTGTGGGAAGAGCAGGTAGTTTATCCTGAGGATGTTAGCCGTGGAAGAGTCGGTTGAAGCTTTTGTCCTGGGAAGAGGTTCAGCACCATTCACATGGCTCTGGGCTGTTTATATTCCAACTGAGCTTCATAATTAGGACTGACAAAAAGGGTACACGGCGTCTTGTGATAATCTGTTTTTCTTTCTTTCTTATAATCCAAAAAAACAACAGTGAATTCACCCTACTGACAAGTATTCTCTGAGAATCCACAGTCTGATACGTCTGCTTCTTCTGTGACCCTAGAGCTCATAGGAGGCCGTTAAAAGCACATAAAGGAGTCACAGCAATGAGTATATCATATTACTTCATTATGATAGACACTCACAGCTCTGCTCCTGTTGATACGCACTAAAGCATCAGGTGTGTGTTTAATCAGCAGGTGGAAAAAGTCCAGTAAAAATTCACAATCAAGTCACATTAGAGCACCATTTACTAAAAACTTGATGTCCAGCATTTTGAGGAAATAACTGAGCCTTTATCTTTGCTGTACTGTTTTAGGATATCCAGCCTTTAGAGTGTATTTAACTGAAGGAACATCTCCCTCTCTGGTTTGGTAGTCAGACCAGAGGCATCCTAAAGGTTTGTGATTACTCTTCTAGAGAGCCAAATGTGCATTAAAGTAGTCCCTAACCCTAGAAATGCTGTACATACATCTGTTTGAGTAACTATAGTTAGCAGCTGGTTTAAGCACTAACTGGAAGTCAACTTGATTGGGACTGAAAAGAAAGGAGTCTGATGTTTGGACGCAGAAACTCAAACTCAGTTGGTTTTTGTTCATTTTCTAAGAATTGTTGACGAAAACAGAAATCTAGATTAACACCTTTAATATCAAGTGGATGTAGATTTAGAGGACGCCGTAGCAACATGGGTAAAAGTGCCTCATGTTTGTGTTGCAGACTCAGAACTGAATTTGATCCCATGGTTGCACTTTTAAAGACATCATCTACGTGTGTACACGGAAGCACGTTCTCACGCCTCGCTGAATACAAACATGACTGCGTCTGAACAAACAGGGAAAGTGTTACACAGCATGTTACACAAAACCACAGAACGCCTTCTGATGACAGACACTTCAGTCGTTACGTTCTCCGACACAGGAATCTGAACGCAGCAAGGGAAGTTAGGAAGAACTCTGTGGCTCACCTGTCGATTGAAGTCGATCCCGTTGTGCTCTAAATAAAGAGAGAAAGAGATTTTTTAAAAACGTCGTCAGGGCTCGTCGAGACACTCAGGACTTTATAGTGACACACAGAACAAATCACATACAGATCAAAACAAATCTGTTTGCATATGATACATGTGTACTTGTAATATGCCATTTACAGATTGTAGTATGAAACAAGTGATGATTATCATTTAACCACCAAATATTTCCCTTTTTAAAGATGCAATGACTTAAATTCAGTGAGTGAATGGACTCCTTCTCTCAGGCAGAATCCAAAGAAAGTACTGGAGCATACAAATCACTTTGGGCAAATTTAATTGGTGCAAATTGTCCTTAAGTGATTCATGTGCTCCAGTACTTTCTTTGGATTCTCCTTGAGAGAAGGAGTCCTTTGAATTATATTTTTAACGTCTGAGGTCCTTCTCCTGGAGCATCGACCTCTATTTGTGGAGCGGCTGAAGCGAAAGACATTTCTTTGACTTAATTTCAAAGTTGGACCATGAAGAGCTTTATGAAGGCTGACTTTTTTGACTTGAATAATTAGATCTCTTGTTACAAAATTTGTAATTAATTGTGATTTATTAGTGGATGAAAAACAACACCACTGTGAGGGATTGTGTTCTTCATGTTGTCCATGTTCCTGAATACGATATGATTTGATGCAATGTTTTGGCCCCTTGGGAAAACATGTCTTTGACCTACTAGATTAATAAATTATTTCATCTTTAAGTTTTATGAATCAAACAACATATGTAGGAAGATCTTGTGTACAAAAGGACACTGTAGGAGAGGGAGAGGTCTAGAGAAGCAGGAGAGTTCAAAGGTGTGCTGGATAAGCTCACATCATTTGAATGTCAAATTGGGCCTTTTGGGAGTGTGTGTGTGTGTGTGTGTGTGTGTGTGTGTGTGTGTGTGTGTGTGTGTGTGTGTGTGTGTGTGTGTGTGTGGCAGTGAGCTGCTGTAGTCACATAATGCAAATACACCTATAACTCCCCCCTACATACACACAAAACACACATAAATACCTACACTCCCTCTCAACTCCTCTTTGCCCTCACCTCACCCCCTCCCTAAACTGTGTCACTGCCCCCCAGCACAACCAGCTTCACAGCCCAACTACCAGTATGGAAATGACCAAGACATGCAAATCAGCTCAGAGCGCAGGAAGCCGGTGTTTGGGCTCTGTCCACGCACACACACACTGTGCAAACAATGACCAAAGAGTCCATCACAGCACTGCAAAAACTCTCCATTATAACCTGTTGTCCCAATGTTTAGTCCGTCCGTTAGTCCTTAAAGCAAACACTGTCAAAAAAAAATGCAGAATGTGTATCTCAATCCTATGAAATGCTGTTTCCTAATATTATAATTGTTAATATACAGTGCTGTTGGAAATAGAAGAAATTAAAATACATTTCTGTTTCACCAACAAGATATTATCGACACTAGCGCCAACAGAAACCAAAATCTGAAATGTGGCAATGCCAGTCATATACAGTTTATACACAAAATATAAATTTATAAATATAACTCAAATCTAAAAAGAGGAATACAAAGGTCTCCAAATCTGTCACCGGTAAGACTGGTTCTGTATCTGATGTCGGACAGGACAATTCATTTATCAGCAATGAGTAAGGTCTTTTACCTGCTTTTTGTAAAGTCTCTCGAGATAACACTTGTTATGAGTTGACGCTATGCAAATAAAAATTGATTGATTGATTGATTTATCTACAATTAATTTACAGTTCACTTACCACGGACAAAGATAATTTCATTCTCGGAGAAATCAGCAAATACATTTATACACAAGGTTTCTTATGACAGCTTGGTGAGTATAAAGTCAGCTCAGGTGTACAAAACGCTTTAAACTGACGTCTTCATAACAATCAAACACAAACTAAAGGATGCCTGCTTGTGCATATTTCATTTCCATTCTCATCAACTGTCATCTTTCCCTGCTTTGTCAGCTGGACATACCAGTAAGCCAATTTTCACATTGTGATTTTGCACTCCTTTTTTAGTCAGTTTAACAAACAGTATTTTATGATTAACTTCATCGAAAGCTTAAGTATCAAGTGTTATTCTGGGATATTCTTATTGAAAAGGGCAAAAGTGAGAAGGCTTTAAAGTCTGTTTCTCTTAACTCTCTGATTCCTCGACGCTGTTTGTGGATATCAGTCGGACCTTCTCATTCATACTGCAGCCAGATATTGAGATTAGTGAGTCAAGGCAGAATGAGGATGTATGTTGATCTGACTCATAATAATCCCATGTGTCAGTTCATTGGAACTTGTCATCCAGTGTAACATTGTGGCTCATTTGTTTGCTTTTGATACTTTTAAATACCATCAGAGCCACACAGAAACATGAAGATTTGACTGAACAACAAAAACATTCGCTCCAAAAATTCCCTGATGCTCTGCTGGTTTTATTCACATATATAATGACTTCTTTAAGTGTACTTCAGTTGTGTCTCCTCCACTTTAAATACACACCACATACTCAAATCCTGCAAAATCCCAGCAAATTTTAAATTCAAAGTTGGATTTAGACCTTTCAAATTAAATTTAAAACCCTTAATATTAACCCTGCATGGTTTCTAAACTCTCTTTGTTCTATCACAGACCATATTTAGGTATGTAAGTCATAATTAAGAGTTAATGATTCAGAAGCATCAGAGCAAACACACTTTGTTTTAATGAAGGTGTACTGAGGCTGAAGTGTGAAACTATTTATTGAACTGTATTGTCTCATGATTCTCAAGATAACCAGTTATAAAAAGTCGTCAAGACTGCAAAAAAAGGACATAATTGTGTATACTTGATGTCAGACATCAGACGGAAATATCAACAAACAACCCGATCTTCTAAAGTTTTGACAGAAAATGTGCTTTGATGTGTGATGTGATGGCAATAGACGTAAAGTTGCAAAAAATACAGATTATGTCAACAAAACGTGTTTTTATCTACAACATTTCCTCAAAGCAACATTAGCGTGATTCATTTGTTTTGGGTTATGTTCAGGTATTTGCAGCACTTTAAATGTATAAGTGGCTAAATACTATAAGCTATTAATTCAAACTTCATCATTTTGAACACTTACCTCTGAACTTTCCCTGACTTTTTGTAATGAATGCTTGTGTTCCCCAAACTCAACCTCACACTGGGTCATGGATCCAAACCATAGTCTTTAGTGTGCACATTTTAGGCCTACCACCCAACCAGACGACCCATGGTATTGTGCATTGAAAACATTTTTACTGTAAACAGGTAGCATGTAGATTTACCTCCAAAATGTTAACACAGATCGTTCACTACAGGTTCAACATGTTCCCTCAGCACATCTTCTGCTGCCTTCCTGCTGTTATTTCAAATGATTCACAAAAAAATGGCACTCTCTTTGGTGGTATCTTCCCATACAAGAAGTTTCTTGCTCTATTTGTTCAGGTTTGTGTCTTCAAAAAAAGTATTCTTTGAGGTCTATATCTCAGAGAAAGATAAAAAGACACTATACTATTTGCAGGGAAAGACGCAACAGGAAACAAATGAGAATAGTCTGTCTTTCTTTCATTGTTGATAAGACCTACAGATGAAATATTTTCAAAATAAAAGTGTAGTTTAGAAAATTCAGCTTTGGCACTTGGAACAAAAGTGATAGCATTTCTGGAAAGCACTTTCATAAAAGCATTTCTGCTCACTTCTCTCAAACTATTGTCTGAATAAAAGTTCCACTTTTTCTGGTTCCTGGTTTTTTGTTTTGTTGCTGGTTGTCGTCCTCATTCCCCCAAGGCAGGCACCTTTTCTCTGCAAACAGCCTCGGGGGCATCCTGGTCTAGTAACCAACTGCCACAATATCCACACACACACACACACACACACACACACACACACACACACACACACACACACACACACACACACACACACAACGGAGACCCACACAGCTACCTCCAAAAAGCAGATGAAAACGGCTGCTTGTTTGGCAACATTTGGCATCATAATGACCATTCTTAGGATTATTTGGGGGATAAATGCTTTCTGTTTATTAAAATAATGTAGGCAACAAATGCTCCTAAAACTCTGTGTTACACCCCCCCCCCCCCCCCCCACACACACACACACACACAACAAAGATCATTTAACAATCATCTAAAAGTAAAACCAAAGAGTTACCGTATGTTAACATCTTTGTGTGAATATGTGTACTTTTGTGTGTACATAAATATATATCTATATCTCTGTATCTCTATATTATATTATATTATGAAATATTTCCAACGCTTCACACATGCCTAATAAATTATAAATCTCAATTTGGACTTTTTTATTTTCTAATATTTCTAAAATAATTAATGACTGGCCCTTTGCCTTCTCATATTTGGGCTTTGAAAAACTTTGACTTGAATTGATTTGATATAATTAACATTTTAAAAAACGCAGGATGTTGAAACTGACACAATATTGAGTAAAACTGAGAGAATCCACTATTTCAAAAATATAAATAAGACTTTGTAGCACCAGCAGTGACAATACAAAGAGAAGAGCATCCAGACTCTTGTTTGTGTTGATCGTGTCAGTGTATCAATGACATGATGTCTGCGCCTTTAGGAAGGTGAAATCTTCTTACCTGCCTGATCAGCTTGAGCGTCCGACTGCTCCACCGTGTCTGCGCTCATCTTAATATCTGTAATGATAAATATAGCTGATTTTCCTACAGGATTGTAACTATGCCAGGACAATGAAGCACTCAGGCCACCCAGGAAAATGAACTTAGTTTATTCTAATGCGCCCTCCCCTGCACAGCACCACACAGACTGTACTCACTCCTGTGTGATCCCTAGTTATAATATTCATAAGCAAAGCCAGGAAACACTACCAGCTCCCACAGGAAGAACATAAACTCCAAGTAAAGTCCAGCTCAAATTAAAAAAATAAGATACTAGAAAGTAGTTTAAAGGACTTTTAAAGGAGGATTGACTCACCTCAGACTAATAAGTAAGTATTGCTCAAGCTGCTCTCCTTCTCCTTGGTTTTTCAAAATGAAGTTAGTGTTGGGATAAAAAGTTTCAGAAATCCACAGCTGCTCATCAGCATTTTCCTAAGTGGAGAAACGCTCACCTCTGCAGTGCATCCTCTGCTGCCTGATAGGCTGATTTGCATGAGGCTCAGTGCGTCCTATCCAGCTTCAGACTGTTTGCATAAAACAACAATGGGGTTACTGCAATTTACAGCGTGCGTGTGTGTGAGTGTGTGTGTGCGTGTGTGCCTGCGCGTGTGTGTGTCTATACAAATAGGCCGAGGAGTGTCATCCTTACAGTGCTTGATAGATGACAAGATGATGTATTATTACCACCACCTGAGATAACTCACTGTATGTGCGTTAGTTAAAAGGAGAGCAGGGCATTTTTTTTTATACTTTTTACTTTTTACTTTTTTTGAGTTTTCAGCAAAAACCTTAAGGTAATAAGGTTGTAAATGAACATTTAAGTAGATTTTAAATTTGACTTTCTCTCGTCATGCTTGAGCTGTTTCATCATTTTTAATAAATAAGCCGATTTTTTTAATAAGCTTGGAAATTTGCTCCAAAATATTGTTCTTTTAACTATTTATTTTTCCTATTTATGACCTTTTTAAAGTAGAAGTATAAATGTAACTGGACAAATTGGATTTTTTTTTGTGTGACACTGTGTTGCACTCATCAGGCCCGTCCTAAAGTTCTTCAGAGGGGAACATTAATCAGCACAAAAACATGAAAAACCGGTTCACTTCTCTCTTGTTTTTCAAAATCTGTCTTTATTTACAGATGTATTTGTGAGGATATGTGATTGGATACATTTATGTGAGAATAAACTTTTCCAGTTAATTTACTGGAGTATTTCCATGGTGTTTTTTTTTTTACACCACTAAATTCATTCAGCAGCTTTATACCTACTGACTTGTCATACTGAGCACTCACTACAGTGTAAATTAAGTCCTACATTCTGAAATCAACTCAACTACAATAAAACAAATATTACAAACTAAATGTAGGCTACATCTTCAGCTCTCTGTTGCTTTATTAATTTAACCAATGTCTCGTTCATCTTCATTCTGTGTTTACAGCCTGTGATGTGATGTCGTCCCACTCTCCCTCAATTTTAATTTTGTTCTCTCCTGATTGATTTTAAACTAATCTTCCTTCACTGTACTGAACCATACCTCTCCATACCTGCCTGTTGACTCCATATTATTCCTGTTATTTGCATTTTTATAATTTTGTCCTCTCTGTTGAACTCTGTTCTGTATTTACTTTGTCTGTCCCAGCACTTTGTAACATTTGTTTTTAAAGGTGCTATATAAATAAAGATATTATTATTATATTACATTAAATACTGCAATCAAATGGTAACTGTGGGACATGTCGTTTTTTTTCCGGCTCAAAGTATACAAATTAAATACAGTTTTTTAAAATCTGGAACATGATTAAGAAATGCAGTCTGGATCTAAAAATAATCTGCACAAATAGTTCAGAAAAATCCATATTTAAGTATTTCTCCACATTGCTACACAATTCTGGACTGACTACAACAGGGGTGGGCAACTGGTGGCCCGGGGGCCACATGCGGCCCCAATCAACCCTCAAGGTGGCCCTCAGGTCAATTTTTACATATCAATTAATTGGAAACATGAAGAAAACATGACAAAATCTGCCATGAAATCATGAAACCCAGAAATATGTCCATAAAAATATTTGACCACTGGTACATGTTGAGTTAAATTTGAGACATAATCGACTGTAATCTTTTTTTGTATTTTACAATTTGGCCCCTCTGGCAGTGAGAATTAAATGAATGTGGCCCCTTGCTGTCACCAAAGTTGCCCCATCCCTGCTCTACAATAAACAACACAGGAACAATAAAGACTGATATCACAGCAAGTGGTGATAACGCTCTGCCTTCTGTAGGCAGTCCACTAGGTGGCGGTAATGCCCTTTAAAGCCGTCTGACAACCGCGTCAAAATAAAGATAAGCGAAGAAGAACACGGAGCATTTTGATTGGTTATTGCTAGGGGACAGACAGCTTCAGAGCAGCGCTACCGCTACATCTTCAATTTAGGACTAAAAAAAACAGCTTTTTTTTTTCATCTTTTTGCTTGATAAAGAGTAACCTCTGCCACAACACAGCTAACATACTGTACTATGTAATGCTAGTTTAACCAGCGGGGAACACGTCTGCTGTGTGCTCACATTAATTATGTAGTTTTTTTTGCCCTTTTTGTTCCAGTCGTTTGTTTGTCAGGTGAGACAGACGGAGGTAAGTGAGCCACCCTGCTAATGACAACAAGCCAGCTACATGATCAAATTATTTATGTTCCCTGTTTTTAATCTGCCTCCTGATGTGTGTTTGTAGATAAACAAACATGTTTGTGTTTGTGAGGTTAGCTGTCAGTGGGTCTGCTGATGCTGGGCCTCTCATGTTGGCTGCTAGCTGACGGTGATAAATACAAATCTATTGTTTTTAAAGCTTTAAGTTGTCCTTTCTTTTCTTGAAGGACAATGTAATAACTGTAGCCTTTTACAGGATTTATCTCTAAATCACACATTTTTTTAATATTAATGTAGAAAAGGCACTGATGTTTTTATTGTACAGATGTTTTATTGAGTCAATGTTGAACCTTTTTGTAAGTTTTACTTTACTTAAAAGAGAGCAGGGCATTTTTATTATTATTTTTTTTTTTTTTGGGGGGGATTTTTCAGCAAAAACTTTAAAGAAAATAAGTTTGAGAACATTTAAGTAGTTTTTAAATTTGACTTTCTCTCGTCATGCTTGAGCTGTTTCATCATTTTTAATAAATAAGCCTATTTTTTTTTAACAAAGCTTGGAAATTTGCTCCAAAAATATTGATCTTTTATATTTATTTTTCCTATTTATGACCTTTTTAAAGTAGAAGTATAAATGTAACTGGAAAAATATGATTTTTTTTTTGTGTGACACTGTGTTGCACTCATCAGGCCCGTCCTAAAGTTCTTCAGAGGGGAACATTAATCAGCACAAAAACATGAAAAACCGGTTCACTTCTCTCTTGTTTTTCAAAATCTGTCTTTATTTACAGATGTATGTGTGAGGATATGTGATTGGATATGTGAGAATAAACGTGTCCAGCTAAGTTTTATCTCATTGTACGGTCACCTTTCAGCACACACAAAAAACAATCTGCTGTCCAGTATTCATAAAACAGTCAGTAAAATGAATGTCATTCAGCAGCTTTCCTCATCAGATATCTGGAACAGACAAGTTGATGGTAAAGCCAGGTCTATCTTGGCCAGCTCTGACCGTCCTCTCTCTCTCTGAGGATTTGTTCTTCTCCCCTCTGGTCGGAGGTACAGGCTGCTCAGGACAAAGAGCAATAGATATGCACTGAACTTTCCAGCAGCACTATAGCACTTTATTTATCTTTGCTCCCATTCAAATTGACTTTTTAACAAACTGTTTTTGTTTGTTTCTTGGTTGAATTCGATCAGGTTTTGTTGCACTGTTCCTCTGTCTTTTATGTCTTGTACTGCTGTAAATTTAAATTTCCCTTCGAGGGACAAAAAAGTAAGACTGAAGAACAAATGAAAAATAAAACAGGCTTAATGTAGAGTTTCATAAACAGACAGATGTATTAAATACCTTCTAGTTGGCCTCTAGTTAAAGCGATTTTCAATATGATTGATCCTTTAGGTACGTAAAACTTGACCAGCGTCGTGTATCTCAATTTGTATCTGTGTTCTTATTTTGTTTTGAAAGTGATCATAACATTGTAATGCAACTCAAGAGAGGATGGGTTGAAAAAGATTCATTGTATTGTCTGTTTCTTCTTCTTCTTCTTGTTTCACAGATGTTGCCTTCATTGAGGCTTGAATATAACATTAAACAATTATTTAAAGTAGTTTGAGTTTCATTTGAAATGGTCAACAATAACATAAAAACACCATCAAATGCAGACTGAAAGATGTCATACACACACTTTTGGAGGTTTGACACACATTGATTTTCAAATGAAACAATCACAAAAAAGAAGAAGAAAGAAATCTGAGGAATGTCAAAAAAGCCTAAGATATTTGCTTCAACATTTTTTTTTTTTTTTTAGATCACTGGCGACAACCTCTTGGATTTTTTTCCCTTTGAGATCAAGATCTTCAAACTGGCCGAAATGGATGAACAGAGTGTTGAGGTATGTGTCACATCACACAAATATCCTCAACATCCCCCTCACCCCATCGTAGACTAATACTGAAAAGAACATGTGTTCAAAACAGTAAATTAGGCAAATTAAGGGGCAAACATCTTGATGATGGAGTGATGTACCTACTACTACCTGCCTCCTATTTGTCAAACTATCTTTGTTCAACAGTGCTGGCCTTTGATGCTCATATCCTTATGTACATATCCAACCCTGATTTCAAATAGATCATAATGGTAAAACGAGGTTGAGCATCCAAACTCTGAGTCTTAAAACCTTTGTGTTATCCTCCTTTATTTTGTATGGGCTGTGTTGGAGTGCTTCAGTGCTGCTGAGAGAGGAGGGTTGAGTCCAAATTTGTTGAAGTTTGACCCGACCTGCCTCGATCTTCTTGACTACAGTCAATGACTGATGATCGCTTCATGTACCACCACAGATAACTTGTACAGATAGAGAGCAAATTTACATTGAGAGTAACTGTACAAGAAGAAAATCATTAACCAAACATCTCTTTTCTGTCGCTGTGCAGAGCATCGCAGAGGTGTTTCGCTGCTTCATCTGCATGGAGAAACTGAGGGACGCTCGTCTCTGCCCACACTGCTCCAAACTCTGCTGCTTCAGCTGCATAAGAGTAAGTCTGTGTCCGCCAATCAGGGGCCAGAAAATGTTCTTTCGTACTGCCACTCTTTGTTACATGTTCAAGCAAACCCTGGTTAATATTGCATACAATTTGTATATCCTGAATTTCTCTTAATTAGTTACTCGCTGAGCAGAACAGATATTTACAGGTTTAAAAAAAGTGTATTTTTGATGTTCAACAAAGAAAAGATAAATTGTGAAAATTTGCAAGAGAGTCCCTCTTTGAAGTACTCCAGGAATACTGCCAGCTGAATGAATGAATCAAATTTACCTGATAATTGAAGGTGTTTGCACTCACATTGTATTTATTTGGCATCATTATTAAACTGCTATCTCTCGTTTGACAGCGATGGTTGACAGAGCAGAGAGCCCAGTGTCCACACTGTCGGTAAGTCCTGCTAACACACTGCACCTTCTGCAGTCCACTGTAGTGTCTGTGTTCAAACAGTTTCATTTGAAAGAAAGCTTGAAACTGAAATAATGAAAAAGTGTTGTCTCAGTTTATTCTTTGCATGTTTGTACCATCAGGACGGGTATTAAAGTGAGTGTGGGTGTCCTTGTAAACACAGGGCTCCGCTGCAGCTGAGGGAGCTGGTCAACTGTCGCTGGGCAGAAGAGGTCACCCAGCAGCTGGACACCCTGCAGCTCTGCAGCCTAACCAAGCATGAAGACAACGACAAGGACAAGTGAGCCCCTCATAGTACTCGCCTTCTCCCTGACTTTTTCTACACCCGTGTGTTTGTCAAATAAATAATTTTAAGACTACACCCTCTTTTAGGTGGGAAGAAACACTGACATTTATCTGACTTTCTACTAAAGGATAAGTTAAAAAATGCTTTACCTATATTAAAGTAAGGCAAGAATTTTATGCAGATTTTTAAGATATTTTTATTTTAAATTGCGACGGATTTTGGCAGAAAATAATTTATTCTTACAGGTTTTTTTTGTGCTGCTTCTTCTCCCAACACATCCCAGATGTTCTCCCTTCATCTAATTCACTGTCTTCATTCTCTGTCTGCCGTGTTTATTAACGTAGAGAGTTTCTAAACACTTTGTAGGAACAGTGAAGGCACACAGACTTTGATTGGTTTTAAAGACTCCCCTCCCCCAAAAAAACTGTTTTGTAACTGTTTTGATGTTTTTTTTGTTTTTGTCACTGAATTTGTCTTTTGCAGATGTGAGAACCACCATGAGAAGCTGAGTGTTTTCTGTTGGACCTGTAAGAAATGCATCTGTCACCAGTGTGCTCTGTGGGGAGGCATGGTAGTGTTTCACATCTTTTAGTAATTGCATGCAAAGATACACACACCCAGAGTAATCACTCAAAATTAACCATTTTAAATGAAGTTAACCCTCAAACATTAATATTTAAACTCTATAGAAACCGTAAAAGTCATTTATGTGTGGTTTTTATCATATCCAGCACGGGGGCCACACCTTCAAGCCTCTGGTGGAGATCTATGAGCAGCACGTGACCAAAGTGAAGGAGGAGGTCGCAAAGCTCCGACGCCGTCTCATGGAGCTCATCAGTCTGGTGCAGGAAGTGGTGAGGACTGATTTTTTTTTTGGTCCCAAATAAAACCAAAATCTAATATTCCAAGCACCATGACGTCAACTGAGTATTTCATTAGTCTGAATGGATTAATCATTCTGAGCTGTCATGTAGTGTCCAGGCTGGTGTAACGTCAGTGAGATGTGTTGGTGTGAGGGTTCCAAGTGAGTCGGATTCAGAGAATACTTGATCGGATGTAGTGGCATTTCTGAAATGATTATGTATCTCTAAGTTTAAGAGGAAGAAATGAAGCAGTCATAGGGTTGAGTTTTGAGTGAGACATAAAATAAGTGTTTCTTGATCTAGGTTGTAGAGACAGAACTCTGAGAAATCATAATTCTTAAGAAAAACACATTTTATACTTCCTGATGTACAATTGGTTACGTGTAACTCATGAAAGCACAGTTAGTGAGTCAGGCTCATGTGGTAGGAGAATTTATTCCCCTTGAAAATTAAGTAATTCACGAGAGGACGAGGAAACCTAAAACATTTGTGAAAAACATGAAGTGTAAATATATTAAAGAAGTTGCTTCATTTTGTAAAGGTTATACAAATCTGTGTAAAGGTTGAGGCTCTTTGGGTGAAGTTTTCCTGACATCCACTAGATGGCAGCAACATGGTGTTATTTCATTTTAGGACTGGTGTCTAGTAAATGAGGCCTGGATGGAAATAATACTTGTTGGTCACCTCGTGTGTTTGTTTTTGTGTTTGTGTGTCGTTTCACGGGTCAGGAGAGGAACGTGGAGGCTGTGAGGGGAGCGAAGGACGAGAGGGTCAGGAGATCCGAAACGCTGTGGAAATGATGATCGCACGTCTGGACAACCAGCTGAAGAACAAACTCATCACCCTCATGGGTAAAACTCTTGGAGCATATTCTACACAGCTTATCTAAGACAAGCCACCAGTAATGTAAAAATCCCCATGAGTATGTCTAACTGATCAGGAAAAATCCTCCTAAAAGCTGGACAAAGCACACCATTATGTAATCCATGTTTGAAAAGGCTCTTTTTCATGCATCTTAACGTACAATGGATCCAAAGGTTGAGACCTTAGCCCTACGAAATATGCTCCCCTTCTGAGAGCAGTCAGATAAACCTTTTACAGCTGCTGGTAATACACGTATGAAATATTTATCTGGGCTGAGTGGATGCACTCACTCAGCGCCCACAAACAGTACACAAGCCGCACACCCCAACCACTCACACTCTCCAGCCTCCATCAGGGCCGACATTCAGCACAAGTACACTGAAAATAGAAATGCGCTCTTCCCCACCAGGCCAGAAGACGTCCTTGACCCAGGAGACGGAGCTGCTGGAGTCTCTCCTGCAGGAGGTGGAGCATCAGGTTGGTCGTCTCCAGCAGCTCAAAGCCTACATTCACTGAGCTGTAGTGCAAAGAACTGCTCTGTTGGTGTTGTTGAAGTGTGGCAGCTGATGCTGTACTACTACTTTCTCAGCTGTATGTTAACTCAATGTATTAGTTACTTTTCTCTTTGTGGTTGCATATAAAGAAACTGATTAAATGTTCTTCAGTATCAGCACGACTTCTCCAGACAGAAACTCAAGTTTTGCACAAACTGTTCCCGTTATTAAAGGACATGTAAATAATCGTTAATGTTTTTACAGCGTTTTTGTTTCCCTCAAAATGACAATATATATTTATTTTTACTGTGTGTGTGTTGAATAGCTTCATTCCTGCAGTAAGAGTGAACTGATCTCCAAGAGTCCAGAGATCCTGCTCATGTTCCAGCAGGTCCACCGCAAACCCATGCAGTCCTTCGTCACCACGCCGGTCCCTCCGGACTTCACCAGGTAACCTGCTCCCCTGTATAGGAAAAGTTGGTTTAATTCTTTTGGGTAAACATGTCATGCTTTGGCTGCTTTTCACCCATATTATCATCATTAAATAACCCTTCAATACGCTCAGTTTGTTTATATTTTTGACTCTAAAAAAAGTCAAATAATAGCTCAAATTTTGAGAAACCAAGGTGATAGTCATGTCCTTCTTCATGTCTATTTATGAAATAGTTGTATAATTTACAGATCAACGATTTGATGGATCAGCAACACATCTGTGCAAAGCATTTCAAGATCCAAAATCAGCCATGTGTGTATTATGTTGTTGACCAATGGATTACAGTATGATGTAGCCTGACAGTGTCCTTAAACTACAGCCAGCATTATTCAGTAAGTGCAATCAACCTTTTTCTTTGTTCTTTCAGTGAGCTCGTTCCAGCCTATGACTCCAGCACTTTTGTTCTGGTCAATTTCAGGTAACTTCAGTTTTTCTGCCTCAGTTGTTAAAAAAAAAGAGTGTGTGTATTAAGTGAATAATAAAACGTTTTCCTTCTTGTGCAGAAAAAACATCCTCTCGGTTCTTTAAACAAAATATTGACATTAAGTGAATTTTGCAGATTGTTGAACTCATCATTATTCATCAGCTAAAGCAGTTCTTGAATGGCGTTTAGCCCACAATGTCGGGACAGTTCCCTTTTTAAATGGTTGCCAGGAGACAACCTATTTGAGGCAACATTTGCATGTAGGAAAGCGATACCTGGCACCACATAAACTAACATCTGCAGATACCAGCAGCTCTTTGAGCACGGGCCTCCCTTTATGGGTTTCTTCCCTTGTTTTCTGAAAGGGAGTAGCTTCATCTTCAACCTTTTGCCACACAGAGAATCCAGCAGCATCTATTATAAGTTGTTAACGTGAAAAAATTCTTAAACCTAAATTGAAGAAATAAGATCATCATGAGAAAGATTTACTAAGAACAGAAGTCCATCAGTTTTCAGTGATTGTGAACAGTGAGGATCAGGAGTGCTTTTAGGCAGATCCTCTCTAGCGATTAATGTGTTTGGGTATTTTATTATTATTATTTGAAAGTATAGATTTAAACCTGGAGGGTCCCAGCTGTGCCCTGAAATATATTGCATTACAATAACAAGGCTTTAGTGCCTGCACATAATTGCTGCTTCTGATAATTTGTTTAGAATAACTAATATTCCTCTTAACATTGTAAACCCTGCCACAGAGACTAATGTAATCAGAGTGTTAAAGTGTCATTTTATTTGATGTTTGTTTCAATGGAAGCCTGATCCAAAGGCTAGATCAGTTGCCTTTGGATCAGGCTTCAAATGAACCATGACCTGGGTGGTTTGTTTGTTTGTTTGTAGCACCCTGAGGCAGCGGGCGGACCCAGTTTATAGTCCTCCTCTACAGATATCTGGGCTCTGCTGGAGACTTAAAGTCTACCCGGTGAGTTTTCCTTTTTACTGATGTTTTTCATTGAATCAACGTCACACTGTTGAATTAGCTCTAGCGTGATAGCATCCACAGCAAAGCGCCTGCTTGGTTTCTGGTCATCTCTTTTGGTCATTTCTTCATTCCAGTTTGTTTGTTGTCGTACTGAAAGAGTTTAGCTTGGCTTAGTTAGCCATCGAGCTAACACGTGAATTACAAATTCACAGATGCGCTTTACATTTTTTTGTCAGTATGTGATCCTAATGAGCACAGGTCATGTGAATTAAAGAAAAAATGATGCTTTGAGTGAGCTGAATGTTAGCCGCAAACCCCCACAATGTTTAGTTTTAGTGAGTTCTAAGAGATTTGTGTAACTTTTGTAACGTGTGTCATCAGGATGGGAATGGCGTGGTCCGTGGAAACTACCTGTCTGTCTTCTTGGAACTGTCTGCTGGACTCCCTGAAACATCAAAGTATGGAAACATCTTTTTTAAACCTCGTTTGTTTCTCTACAAGCTGATCTTTATTCACAAGTTTTAGAGAAAAATTAAATATTGGCACACAGGAAACACAAGAAGTCCCACTGTGCCCAAAGATCATGACAGGTTGAATCATTCCAAGCTAGTGGAGAAGATACATTTTCATCTTTGACCACATTAATGATCAATAGATTTTACTGAAAAGTATGGACTGGGTTTCTAAAGCTTCACCGCCTAAAGGAAAAGAGGATATGGAACATTTGAGTCCATAGAGTAACATTTTGTTTTTCACAACATAGAAAAGATTTCATTCTCGTGTGGACCACTTCTTTCCCTTCTCCCTGTGATGTTTCTTCCTTGATAGTGATGTTGTTTTGGCTCTGTGTAGGTATGAGTACCGTGTGGAGATGGTCCATCAGGCCTCCAGTGACCCGACCAAGAACATCATCCGAGAGTTCGCCTCTGACTTTGAGGTCGGTGAATGTTGGGGCTACAACCGCTTCTTCAGACTCGACCTTCTGGCCAGTGAGGGCTACCTGAACATGCAGACTGACACGCTGGTCCTCCGGTGGGCGCACACACACACACACACACACACACACACACACACACACACACACACACACACACACACACACACACACACACACACACACACACACACACACACACACACACACACACACACACACACATACACACACACACACCGACCATCATTTTTCCTGTAGAGCATGCTCCACTCTGACCTGCCACACTCTGATATTACAGACACAAGGAGCAGAAGAGTTTTGTTGCCAGAGGGTAATAAGAGTATAATTTGATTCTCGTGTGTGTGTGTGTGTGTGTGTGCTGCACAGCTACCAGGTTCGTTCCCCCACCTTCTTCCAGAAGTGCAGAGATCAGTACTGGTACATCAGCCAGTTGGAGTCAGCCCAGAGCAGCTACATCCAGCAGATCAACAACCTCAAAGAGGTACACAGTCTGTTGTGTTTTTAATCCTTATTAAATTAATTTGATAATGTAGACCATTTGGAGTCAGATCAGCTTTGTTAAGTTTTATTAAATCTGCTGATGCATCATTTATTACAAACTAATGATTTTAATCCAAACACAGTTTCCCCCATGTATGTGTCTGTTTAATGCAGTATAGGAAAAAAGGTTAAGATGATGTTTTTGCTGAAAAAAAACCTGTCTGAAAGAGATCACTTGGGTCTTCAGTCAAGAACTACCTGACAGTTTTTCTCTTAATTTAACAATACTTGTTTTTGTCTAAATAACTTAAAGTGTGATTATAGGCCCATTCTTCTTTCCCTGTGTCTAAGGTCGCCTTTTCACAGACAGTAATGTTCGTTTTGTCTGACCAACAGTCCCAAACCCAAAGATGTTACATTTGATTTATTCCAGAAATAAAGAGTTTTAAGATAAAGAAGCTTGTACTCGTAAATGCTTGTCATCTTCGCTTGACAAATTACCCGAGCAATCATTTGATTATAAAATGTGTTAAAAATGTTTTCTCTCTTGGGGCGCGCGTCCCATGTGTTGAGACTCTCGTCTCGAGCGGTAGGCCCGGGTTCGCTTCCACCCGTGGCCCTTTCGCATGTCGTTCCCCGCTCTCTCTCCCTGGTTTCCGACTCCGTCCACTGTCCTCTGTCTGCATTAAAGGCACGATAAGCCCAAAATAAATCTTTAAAAAAAAGAATGTTTTCTCTTTTCATCAAATAATGAATAATTTAATCAATTCAACCTGTGTTGTTGTTATGAACAGATGGTTCACACAAAGTTTGCATCATCTCTACTTCTTTTTTTATATAAAATCTGACAGTGTTATAGTCAAATCTTACCTGATATTTAAGGTACTGTTTTAATTTTGTTGAAGAGTTTTACATATTCTGATTGTAACATGATCTCCATTACATATCCTGATGTCTGTGGATCTACCCACTTGTGTTTTTCCTTATTGCTCTGAACAAGCTGGCATGCAGCTGTTTCAGAAAAATCTATTCTTCTGACTGGTACATATATATATATTTCTTTCTGATTTCAGCGGTTGGCCATCGAGCTGTTTCGCCGACAGACGTCACGCAGCTCCTCGCCTCCTGACATGAGACTGGCTGCGAGCACCACGACGTCTGAGAGAGACTCGCGCTCTGTGAAGAGTGACGACGAAATCCAGACCACTTTGAGCAACACTAAGAAAGCAGAAGAAGAAGAGAGGACCCAGCACGATGACTCTAATGTGAGGAGTAAACACACGTCACTCCAGAGAACAGAGAAAGCAGCTTTTTGATTCTCATTTTACATACGCTTGTAGTTGTACATAAGGGGAGATGTAAGAAGAAATAATTTGATTACAACTTGATGGGTTAAAAAAATGAAGCCTCGTATAAATTAGCAAGGGGCATCCATGTCAAAGCTTTTTCAAATAACCCTCGCAAGCATGTTCAAATAGATTTTGGAAGGAGGCTAAACAATACTGCACTGGCCTCTTGAAATGAAATGAATCAGTCTGTTAAATCTGATCAGAGTGTTAAAATGGATTCAGAGTGGAACTGAAGTACAATGGTTCAAAAGTATTATACAGGTTTTGATAAAAGCATTGTTGCAGGTCAAGCCAGTTTTTTTTTTTTGTATTGAAGTAAGAAGAATGGAGTTATTTCTACGACGCAGGCATGTGAACTCAGAGTCATCATGGTTTGTTTTTTCTGTGTTGTGCAGGAGCTGTCCGATGGTGACCTGGAGGTGGACTGTCTGACGGAGGAGGAGGTGAACCCGCTGGACGGCAGCAGCACCTCAGGGAGCTCCACAGCCACCAGCAACACTGAGGAGAACGACATAGACGAGGAGACCATGTGAGTAGAAGAACAGCTCATTATCTCTTGGCTTCACTTACTGTTGTAGTGGGTGATTCTTTAGAGAATATTGGTGAGAGCATACAGGCTTAAGTTTTCCTTTTGAGGTAAAGCAGGGGGAAAGTAACTCAGAGAGGGAATTTTGTCCCTACTTTCTTTACTAAATTCCTGTTTGTTCATGATTGTGTATTTTTTGCACAGGTCCGGGGAGAACGATGTAGACTTCATTGGGAACCTTGAGACAGAAGAAGGAGAGCTTCCTGATGACTTGGCAGGAGCCACAGGTATGATTCACACACTCCATATGAAGCTTTCTTTCACGATTAATTATAAATTTAGATCCTGCAGTTTGTTTCTCTTGGTGCGTAGGAGGTAGGTCAGAAGAGATCAGTCTTTCTGCTTGTTAGCAGATGCTGTATCTCACAAACTTCTCCACAGACTTCAGTAAAACTTTGTGAAATCTTTGGCTTTGGTTTGAGGAATAAATCCTAAATTACATTTTCCAAGTCTGCATATCCTCAAGGGCCTGAATGACATACATTTAGTCACCAACACGAGTCCTCAGGGGTCCATGCAGAGAAGTTTGCACGCTGCCCTAAAAGTTATAAATACATCATAACCATAGGCCATGTTAATGATGAACGTAGCCACTGCGACTCAAACCATTGGTTTCTCGACTGTGTATATGGAGCCTCGAGTTCGGGCAGTCGGTTGCCACCACGTTGTTTTCTGGAGCAGGAAGTTACCTTTTGTTAGAATTGGTGGTGTTGAAGCCTGGCAGACAGCCAAGAGCATAAATACATCAAATGAAGCTACTTCCCCATAACTTTCAGGTTTTAATATCATGGAAACGGATGAATTAAAGTACAGTTGTCATGAATAGAGAAATGAGATACAGCCCAGAACTGCCTGGCACTCGAGGATTTGCAGTTGTTTTGCACGTCCACATTGGCTTCATTTTTCAACACCAGAGGTTGCAGCTTGGTCACAACTGCACATGTGCCAAATAGTCTGAATATTCAGATATGCAGGGCCTGATTCACACACACATTGCACAGCTTTTGTGTTCACTAACTCTAATCTAGCTCACATAAAGGGTTAAGTAATAAGCATGTCTGTGAGCCTGTACCCAATGGCCTTTTTGTGCTTGAATATCGTTACCTCGGTTTGCATTAAGAGTAGGACCTTGAGATGGAGCAGATAGAGGAGAGGAAATTATGCGCTTTTCATTTTTCTATAAGTGGCCGCAATCCATTCTTATTGAAAAGACCCCACAGCGTACACTCTGTGCACACTGCACCGTATAATGTGCTTTATTTTGTATTTTTGTCTTCCCTGTTGTTACTGTTTAGAGATAATGTCCTGTTATGTGTTGGATGCTGCTACTTTTCACATGTAAAATAGGTGACTGTTGTTTTAAACCCCTGTAGGGATGAAATCAAAGACCATTTTAATTTATTTAGATTGTTTTTTTTAATTACACTTTTAAGCCATGAAATCATAAAATAAAAAATAAAGTCGACCACAAATGTCCACAGCCAACGGGAATCTCTGGAATATGTTGCAAGCCCAAAGTTACCAGACAAAAGCAACAAATCCCGCCATTTGTGAATCTGTGACAATCAAATATTGAATCTCCTGCCTCAGGTAAAGGCCTCACTCTGTCTTCACTTGGTAAAACACACAATCCTCATCTTCTGTTTGAGAATTAAACGAATCAGGTGTTCCTGTGTTGTTTGGCAGCGGCACAAACAGAACAGAGTGATACAATGGTGGGCCTCAAAGCGGCTCCTTCTGTGTGTTTGACTGTGTTGGTGTTGAAAGGTATGAAGAGGATGAGTCATTGTTGGTGCCTGTGCTGATATAGAAACACTCAGTGTCTGTATGTGAACATGTGTGGGGGAGGTGTGTGTGTGTGTGTGTGTGTGTGTGTGTGTGTGTGTGTGTGTGTTCACTCTGTTAGATGTCAGAGTGGAGCAGAGTCAGAGTAGCTGCACTTTCTGTAGGTCCCATTGTGTCCTGATTTCTGTTTTTCATCATGACCCTTTTCTTTGATGCTGTTAAAACAATAAAGTTCAGCTCCGCAATGCCAGCTGAAACTTTCTAACTCAGCTTTGAGTTCTTTGGTCGGAGAAAGATTTACTGAGGATGCTCTGATCTCACAGGTCTCACTGCCTCTGTACTTTAAAATATAGTTCTCAGTATATAAAAAAAAAAAACATGCCTTTTAGGCTTCAATGATGTATTTGTGGCTTAGAATTAAGTTAACACCACAGATCATTTTTTTTGTTAAGTTACAAAATGCTAATTGATTTCATGGTCCAACCTATGAAGAAAGGTAGAACAACATGTCCTCTGCTTGATCTTCAGGTGGATCCAGCTCCAGCATGCGCTCCTTACACCGCAGTGCTGCAGCCGGTCGCAGTGGGACCAGTAGCGGTGCTGCTGCTGGCGGTCCAGGCGGTAACAGCCTCCTGGAGATAGACCCGGTCATCCTGATCCAGCTGCTGGATCTGAAGGAGCGCAGCAGCGTGGAGTCTCTGTGGGGCCTTCAGCCTCGGCCTCCTGTTTCCCTGCTGCACAGCCAAGGTCTGTAGACGCACTCTGCCCACTGACAACAAATCACTGCAGCTAAACCGAAAATCAATACTTTAATTCGCACACAGGGTCCCTCGACAAATAAAAATTCTTTGAGGTTTCTTTATTTTCCCACTTTTTTTGTTTTGTTTCATTTCTCTTTGATGATAACGCCCATCTCCTATATCTGTGCCGTGCTTTTTCTGATGTAGGGAGTGTTTATGTCAGAGGAGGTCATGGCACAGTGTGAAATTAAACCATCCTGCACAAAATGTCTCATTTAGCCTCTTAGTCAGCAGCTGTCTTTTTAGAGTTGTTTGTTACTCACTGGTTTATTTTGTCGAATAAAACCTGAGAATCTCTTAAACTTGAGTCAACTTTGGACCTTATTTCTGGCATCTATTTGAAAACCCATTGATTTTGAAACAAGACAACCAGAAGTTCCAAATTCTGACTGAGTTTTTAGGTTATCAGGATTTATTCCTGCAGCTTTTTACACCACTGATCAACTTTGTGTGCAAGTGCACCAAACGATGCCGCCATGGTTTAGGTGCAAGCCATTTCTTGATCCGTTTTCTTCAGTTGCTCTCAGTGTCTCTCCTCATGTACTTGTTTCTGTTTTCTTTCAGCTCATCCCCACTCCCGGAAGGATCGAGAGCGGCGACCTCAGGTCGTGCGACGATCAGCTCCAGACTCCGGGGTCCTGATCCGCCTTAAGGCCCAGATGGCCGAGGTCCGCAGTAAGATGTCCGATGTCAAGAGTCAAGTGCTGGAGGCTCGGGGGACAGGAGAGACCAGGCCCGGCCCGTCAGGGGGCTTCAGTGTGGAGGAGGCTCCCTCTCACCACGCTGACTCAGAGTTGTCAGCTTGTCGTAAACCCGGGGAGCTGGACCTGCTGGGGAGAGCGGCCGCTGCTCGTTCCAGGCCCTGCCGCCCTGGTGAGGACTACTACATGGGTACTGGTGATGATTTTGAGTTGCTATACAGATTAAGTGTTAATAGTGTTCCAGTTTAACTAAATGAGTGTTACAGCTACCCTGACAGTCTATAAAAAAAAAGTCAGCTCTAAATGCAAATCCTGAATGTCTTTCTATGATCACATTTATCTAAATCCTGTCAGTGCTCCCACCTTTGAGTGAAGTTGCATGATTTCCGACCTTAACTAACACAGGGTAAACATGTTTTTCTAGTGTGGCTTTGGATGCTTCTTTGGAACATTGAATCTTTTGTATACTGTTGTTTACAATGAAACCGATTTAGCCCGGCCTGACTCACAGTCATCTCCATAAATCTCAGATACTCACATTAATAAAGTGAGTATTAAATTACATACTCACTTTACCTGTGTTTCTTTTCTTTTTGTGCAGCCAGGAAATCTCTGTCCCCCGTCCTGGACAATAATGGCTCCGTGGTCGTGAAGAGGAGGAGTCCAGAGGAGATGGAGAAGGACCTGAGGGGAGCAGACCTGGCCACAGAGCTCAGCCTGCACCTGAAAGAGGGGCTTGGAGGTTCTGAGGGTTAGTACTATTCCAACTTCAATCCCTGTTGAACCTGCACTGACGCCTTTGTTTGGGACAGAGGTGGAAAGCACAGACATGATTTCTTCTTATAGACTTTGAATAGCAGGCTTCAACAACATGAGCCTGTATTTGATGTTGTTCTCATTAACTTTTTAAAAGGCTAGAAGGAAATAAAATAAAACAGTTGAAGTACCCTGCTATGGACTGGGTCAGGTTTAGCTCGTTGTTTGTTCAATATAGTGACTGAGGTTTGAGGGAAAGATCACTTCAATGCAAAACATAGTAAGTCGATTGATTGGCTTTAAAGTTTGGTTTCTTATTTTGCCCTTTTTTTATCTTCCATTAGCATCCTCTTAGTTTCATAAATCAGCAATGCGGAGGCTGTAATTTTGAGGATGTCAGTGCTGTAAAAAAAAAAGAAGATAATTAACATAATCCTTGATTATGTTAATTATCTTCTTTTTTTTTACATCAAGGATCTACTCGATGAATCTTGAAGTACATCATATTGGATGCCTCTACTTTCCTCTTTCCTCTGTGCTCTTTCAGTGTGACTCAAAATAGTTCCTGAAGCTCTCGTGGCTGAACTTTGATAAACTGTGGGCTGTGAGCACTACATACTCCTCCTCACCAAAAAGTGTGTCAATATTTCAACCAGTGTTTACATCCAAGTTCCAGACATTGACTGTCCCAGTAGATAAACACTGAACACTGATATTTTTTAAATAGTTCACACTTCTTATCTGTCACATTTTTCAAACACTTTTCACATCTGTTCCTAAGTTGTTTAAAGTCTTTTTCTTTCCAGGGCATTGCTTGGTGCTATTTTCTATTTAAGGACAGTGTCCTTGGATGAAGCACTAACACTTCAGTCAGTTCTTGGGATTGTAACAGAAGACCAAATATAGCCAGAGATTTTGATAAAAATCCCTTTTCACTGTAAGTGCTTGATAATAGCTAAAAAACAAGATCAGCTCTTGAGTGAATGGAATCTGGATCCATCCGTCCACAGATCATAGATTATTGTGTCATGTACCAAGAAGCATGCAGCCTTTTTTTAATGTAGGGTTGTTTTCTATTTTTGTCAGCCTGGGTTGAACTGAAAAACAAAACAAGATCACGATTTTCCACTCAGTGAATTTGCTTCTGTCTCTCCTGTAGGAGTGCTGAAGCCAGACGGCATCCAGAGCCCCCTTGTTTCTCTCGGCAGCTCCTCATCAGAGCAGGCCTCCACCTCCAAGCAGCAGTACTCTGTGGAGCAGCAGCTGTACGGGGCCTCCGGGTCCAGGGACGACATTTTTACCTTGGGTGGACCGAGCTTCATGACTGCCAGCAAGAACTGTGGCAGTAGGACCCTGGGGTGCGTCTCTGACACTTGTTATGAACAGAAAAAATATTTCAGTTTAGCTACAGCAGATGGCTGATTTACTCAAACTGCAACAGAGGGCTCTTCATGTCTCTATCTTTCTACCCTGCTGCTCACACATACCCTTGTATTTCTTCCTACTGCAGGGCGGCCATGTTGGACTGTGAATCTGAAAGCTCAGGAAACTCTCATCAGTCCTTGCTGGAGGGGCTTTCTGCACAGCCACATTTGAGTGAAGGTGAGCTAACACTCTAACTCCCAACCTCAGGGACTAATGTGTTCAATGTTTTTCTTTAGTTTGCTTTTTGTGTACAGCATTGACAGTGTACCCTTAGCTTAGCATAACGACAAGAGTCAGCGAGCCTGGACTTTTCAAGTGTGAGGACACACTCACACAAGGTGATACGTACCATGCCCAAGCATGTTTGACCCCCAAAGTCCAGTTTGTTTGACTCGTGTGAGTGCTCTGTATCATGCTAAGCAGAGTACACGTCTGCTTCAGCACATCATTTTAAACAATATTCAGTCAGCTGGATAAAACCCCCAAGAATTGAGGAGGGGGACCAATGTGCTTTGGCTATGTAAGGGCAACTGGTGTTAGTGTGATAGGGATCATCTTAAACACTAACTTACATACATGTAATTGTTTGTCAATTTTTCTTGCACGAAAAGTGTAAGAATGAAAACTCCCTATATTTTAGGGTAATGGATTCTTTCTTGGCCTGCAGCTGTTCATGTCTGGAGTCAGCATTAAATTGATGTGAAACACAATGGCTCCTGACATCAGTGCATGTCAGTCTTTGCAGCTGGGCCGATGTCTGTCAGGGGCGGGTATAGGCCAAAGCTATGATCAACTGATACATTGGTGAATCTCAATTAAAGAAGCAAATTAGATTAGTTAATTTAAATGAGAATTCTTGTTTCAAAGTATTTTTATTTGATTGTACAAGATGCATTATTCTAAACCCACTAAATCGTGTTAAGTGTGGAGCTCACTTAGTTTTATATTTGTCTGTTGATGTGTAGTTGGAGATGAACTCATTCAAAGCATATTGTTGTTTTGGGGAAGAGAGAATAATAGAACAATTCAACAAATGAAAAGGTGCGAAACAGTTCTGTACACGACTGTAAAGCAGGTTATCCGTGTCATGTCTGAAAGAAAAGTTGTAATGTTATAAATTGCTTTTTATTTCAGTCATATCCTTAAATGAAAGTCTGATGGCCTCTTGTCTGTTTTTAGATCCGTCACCATCCGTCCTCGTGGTCGCGACAAGCAGCGACAGCGACACAGAGGACGAGGCCCTGCAGAGCAACAACTCTCGCTACGACAACCAGACTCCTCCCTGCACAGGTAGTCAACACACACAATGTTCATGAGGAAACACACATTACTGAGCTCAAACAACGACTGTTAAAGCTATTACAGAGAGTCGTGTTGTTTATGTGAACAGTCAGGACTCAAATCTCAGATTGTTACTACGACCCGTCAGAAGCAATGCATCGTTAGTGTGGTTTAAAATGATGCAGAATACAGAAGTGAGCTCGTGTGACTGTCTTTACAGAATTGTCCTTCTCTGTAACTGTCTTTTTCCAGGCCCCAATGTGGTCTACAATTGCCCCCCTTCTCCTCCTCTTGTAGTATTATTTAATGTTTAAAAGTACAACAGAACATGAGAGCAGTGCAGATTTGAGAAATAAGAAAGGATAACAGTAATAGTTACATAAATGTCTTATTACCTTCCCCACCAGGCTAGATATGAGAGAAAACAAGGACACAAAGATGGATGTTTTTAGCGCCGTTCCTCTGCTCCAAACACAATAATCCAGTCAGAACCAATTACCAAAACAACCATTTCTCAGGAACTCAAGACAGTCCAAGGTCGGACTGTCTGATCTGTAAGACGAGACCGTCTGAGCCTTCACTCGCATCAAAGATTGCAATGCGGGTTTAGTGTAACTGTGAATCAGAGCGGTACATCCAATATGTAATCATTTTCTACTCTGTTCACACAAAGAGCTACATTTCACCATTTTTATCTTTCATGCCTCAAAACCAGACACTCAAACGAACTCTTGTTGTTCTGTGATGGATCACATCACTTGTTTTATTCTGGATGTGTCCTCTAAAAAGGTGATTTCAGATTTGAATGTGTTGAGTCAGCATACTTGAAATGTTGTGATTACATCTTTAAGGAGGAATAACCAGGTTGTCAGTATCTGAACCAACACTTAAAACCAGAATGTGTCCCTGGTCGGCCTACAAACCCCTCAATTATGAGAAAAGTCTATCATCTCTACCTTTTGACATGTCCACTTTTCAGTGTGCTCAAACAGGCCGTTTGGAGGTTTTCCCTTTATGACCTCACAAAGGGCAGTCACCCCTCCCTTGCAGACAGAGAAACATACAAGGCGCAGTGGTTAGGGCGCGCGCCCCGTGTATTGAGGCTGTCGTCTCGAGCTCGCCTCCACCTGTGGCCTCTTTCCGCATGTCGTTCTCTCTCCCTGGTTTCCGACTCTGTCCACCGTCCTCTCTCTGCATGAAAGGCACAAAAAGCCCAAAATAAATCTTTAAAAAGAAAAAAAAAAAGAATACAGGAATATCGTTCTTGTTGCAGATGTTTTAGTCTCATCTTGGACTTTTTGCACTGAAGAAAACCAAGATGGACCGTTACATCTCCAACAGTTCAGCTTTCTATTCTAATTAGCAACAACAGGCACAAACGTCCAGTTTACAAGGATGTGGCATTCATCAGATTCAGAACACAAGTCAGCAGTTTAAGAACAGCTTCATGAACCTGCCTAAGACTTTTCTTCGGATCTTCTTACAAACAAATTCAAGGAAGAACTTCTTAAGACATCGGTGATTAAAGCCCACTGAGCTGAAAACAATAAAAAGCCCCAGACAGAGAATTCTAAATAGCAAAGAAGTTACCGTGAGCACCAAGTTTTATGTCATGCATGTGATGGTAGATTTAAAAATGTTGTGGCTTGTTTGACCAAAACAAAAGAATCAAAAAATTAGTTTGTAAATTTCTTCAAAATAATTACTGTGAGTCACAAAAAGCTCCAGCTACTCATTAAACTAGAACAAAGATCAATTTGATTCACTTTATCAGAGTGACGCGTTTCAACTGGGTTAAGGTTACAGGAGAGTACACGTACTTTGATTGTGTAACCCTCTTTGTGAATATAAATGTTGATAAACCTGGACCAACACTTAACGTTGACAGCGCAGACTGACTTAAGATGCACAGAAAGTTATTTCTTGTCTTTCTTCCTTTAGGAGATCAGCTTCTGTCTGATGACATGAGTCTACCTGCTGACAGGTGATTCCCTCTGAGCCTGTGCCAAACATCTGGAGACAACACACACACACACACACACACACACACATACACACACACACACACACACACACGCACGCTAGTTCCACACATGTGTAGAGTAGAAACTGCTTGTTATGCATGAAGTCAAAATGAAGATGACGCATCAGCTCACCTGGTCGTCCGGACACAGAAACATTTCTCTCGATGTGATCACGACCACTTAGTCAGATTGTTTTCGACTAATTATAAGCATAACTGTTCTGATTGGCTCATGATGTTATTATTTGTAAACCTGCCACTTTAAGAGAACCAACACGTCAACATTTCACCACTGCCAACTGAATCTTTAAAACTACTAAGGACTTTTATTTTGAAACCTGAACCACTACATTTACCTGGACTGCAGGGCGTTTAGTCCAAACGTTAACTTTCTGCACAAATCTGTGACATTTTCAGTTTATAGAGGCTTTTATATATCTTGCATATTAACAGGAGTTGAACTGTAAATGATCTATGGTCTATAAGAGCTCAGTGTTTAATAGCAGCGTGCTGTCTGTGTTTAATTCACTCTGTCTGTTTTTTAGTCTCTCCTACACCTACTCTTCTTCCCTCTCCCATGTCCCTACACCTCCCTGTGTTGGTGCTTAAAGTCTTAATTCATTCCTTAAACATCCAGTTTCATTTACTCTCAGCTTGTCGTCTGCATAAATTCAGTCCTTTTTCCTCCTTTAGGTGAACCTGTAGCGTTCAATTAGCTTTCCAGGTATCTTATGTAAATGTCTCCTCTCCTAAGAACAGCGGCAGCCACAGTGTCTGTCTTTATGTGACATTTGAAAAGGGTAAACGATTACTGAATCACATGGCTTATAAAACACCTGCTGCACTGATGTTTGTGGGCTGAAAGCATGCTGCAGATCTGACTCTTAACAGTTTCGAGCGGATGTCAATTCTTCGACATTTGCTCGGACATCAGCGACTGAAGCTTCAGGTGCAAAGTGTTCGATGGCTTCCACCCACAAAGAACTGCCTCAACACGTAATTCACTACATGACAGGACATTCAGACATCATTATCAGTCTTATGAAAAAGAAACAGAAGCTCGGGGGATGCAGTATAAAGACTTAAAACTGAGGGAAACGAGTAGCCTGGCTGTAGTCGCTGTGTTGACATGAAGCCGGTCGCTCCTTCAGACTGTAAATCAACACCGGGTCAAACACCGCTGCTCTCTGAGGGTCAAACTCTGACATAAGCTGCACCTCTGGAAGTAGTCGACGACATCACAGCAGTTGTCAAACAAAAAACACCTGTTATAGCCTTTAATCACTGCAGATGATTATACTTGTCACAGCAGCAGAAACAAAAATGCTCTGTTGTATTCAAGTGTTGAAGCTGTGTGTGTGTGTGTGTGTGTGTGATTCGTCATGCGCTGAACTGAAGCAGCTAAATGAAATGTAACCTTCTTTTCTTTGATTTTCTTTACACCTGTGCACTTCCTGCTGTGAAAAGTAAAAACCTCAGCACTAAATACAAACCCGGTATTGACCTCTTCACAGCTGAGCTCAGCAGAGTTTCAATTATTCAGATTAAAACAAACAAAAAAGGCATTAACTCTCTTCCTTATACTCATGTCTATCCACTCAGGTTGTTTTTATTTGTCCAGATTTTCTGACTCCATATATAGTATATTAAAGAGAATTGAATGTAGGACTCAATTAGTAACTGATTGATTGATTGATTGATTGATTGATTGACGTATCTAATATGTCGTCAGTGAATCTTTTCCTGTTTTCTTGATGTTTTCACATCATAAGAAGGAAACTAAGCAACGTCCTCATCTGACAAACTGGACTTATGTTTTTGCACAGAAATGTCCGTAATGTTATTGAGCAAATACACAACTTCAGTAATCATTGCGTTAAAGAGTTGAACATGTGTCACACTGGGAATTTTATTTGTAAGATTTTAACAGTGCGATGAAAAAGATGTTTCCTGTTACTGCAAACACAAAACACAAAACCAGATTTGGTTTGAAATCCCGTTTCCTTTCCCTCACATTATTTTAAAAAAACAGTCGACGGTGTGTTCTGCAGATCACTCAGAGCAACAGCGACATTGTCTCGGGAAAGATATGTTAACTGATGAATTTTTCAAATGTCATTTTGAGCACGACAGATGGCTCCACAATCGGGCGTCTCCAAACCTGGACAAATAATACAACAACAGAAAATGTGCAGCTATGTTGCACTTGAGTCAAGGGAGAAGCTGTCAAACTGTGGTGTATCGAACATCCTTTCTAATTCTCAGAAAGCGGGACAGCGAAGGTTTTAAAAAAAAAAAAAAAAAAAAAATCTGTAATTACATAACACGTACTCTGTTTGCTTCACTGCTTCTCCTTCATGGATTCATTATAACTCACCTGAGCGCTCACAGCAAACAAACACGTGTCAGGCTGCTGCAAAACGACGCACGTTATTGGGAGAATACACGGGCACACATATATATCTGTAACGAACCCTTTGTGCACTTTGTATGACTGCTGATTGGCTCTGAATGGTCCCTTTCTTGGTCACTGAGACACATCTTGTCTTGAAGGTCACTTACACTCTGGATGAAAGAAGGCACGTGTGACACTTCTTCAGTCATTAGTTTACATTGTAAATATTTACGAGTCGTGGTGCTTGCTGTATATGTGCCTCTTAAGTGCATGGCTTTATTGGCTGAATAAAGGAGGAAGGTCGTCTTGTTTGCACCGAGACACATCCAAACTAAAATCACCCACTGAAAGAGAAGTAAAGCGTATAACCTCCATCACTACTCCACCTGATAGTTTTCTTTTCCTCTCTTTCTTTACATGTTTATGATCAAGACTTAGATTATATTCTCTCTCTCTCTCTCTCCGTTTATTAATCTTTCATCTTATTTGTGCCTGTTGTGTCTGAAGCTGCTTTTTATTTTGAATGTTCCCAGAATGCACTGCGCATTATTTGTTGTGTACATTTCCTTATTGTGTAATAAATAAAATGTTTTAAGATCTGTCAGATCTCCAGATTCTCGGCTCGTCTTTTCTTTTTCAATGAATTGACATCTGGAGGGAATCAAAGTCATGAAGTCACGTTGAAGAAAAATGAATAACATTTGAACATTTTTCCTAATGTTGTTTTAAAGCACAATAAATAACAAAAATGTATTATAATGCTGTACAATAATACCTAGAACAATAGTGGTGAAGAAAGGTAGAGACATTGTGCTTATCTTACATGTTTATTAAAGGCTGAAAGTGATCGTTTATCATGTGTAATTTTCAGGTTAGTAACCTTGCATTCGATGAAAAAGTTGCAGGTTTTGGCCGGAAGGATAGACTTTATAAGAACCAGGATGTAGATCATTCGTCAATAGATTTAAAGCATCAAGTTTGGAACTTCTTCTGTTCAGTGCTGGAGCCTGATGTGATTGTTTTGGATTATTGTGTGTATGAGAATTGCCACTCTCCATTTCTGGTTGCTACGTTACCATGGTTGTGACTTGTCGTTACCATGTAGCCAAACCCTGTGAAAATCATATTTAACGTTGAATATTCCATAATTTTATTTTTTTATTTTTTTATTGAAACAAGCAAAGTGACCAACAACTGATTGGTCCACTTTTGAGGTACATTCAACTTAACCGGGAAATATGATCCTTATTTGTTTCTGGTTCCTTACAGACTTCTTCATGTAACCTGTGAAGTCGCCACCTGTTGGTGATTAGAAATAATGCAGGTTAAAGTTACAGGCACCTCCACAATGATTTACTTTTTCTAAATCTTTGGGCTATTTATGCCTTTATGATGAGACGGGACAGTGGATAAAGTCAGAAATTGGGGGTAGAGAGAGAAAGAGTGGGGAATGACATGCAGGAAAGGAGCCTCAGGTCTGATCTGAACCCGGGTCGCCCACTTCAAGGACTATCCGCATGAGCATTAAACACTAAAGGCTACCTGCACCCCATGATTTACTTTTTAAAGTGTAACATCATTGTCACATTTTACAGATGCAATTTATTACTTAAACAACCTGTTTATGGAGAAGTTTGTCAGTAAATGTGTGAGATCCGGGCCGCTGTGTGGCTTCTTTTACAGGAGCGCACTGTTCGACTGTTTGTTACACTCAGTGACTCTTCTTGTGACGCTGGTGCTGAGAGCTTTGATGTGAGATAAACCTTTGAATGAACAGTCTCTCCAATAACAACATGTGGGTTTATGCATGAATGTACATTGTTGTGTTAAATTTCATAAAGAAAGCATGTGAATGATAATGTATTTATCACATTTGATTTTTTTCTGTGTAATGCTGTTTTGGATTTATCCTTCCTTTTGCCTGAGGGATTACCAACAGGGAGACACAGAGAGCATGAATGACTGAGAAACCCTTAAATTCTCCATAACTATAGTTCCTGTTGCCGGGTGTTGGAAAATAAAAGGTTCAAAGATAATGTGAAAAGTGCCATGAGTCTTTACGAGCATATATTGAGTAAATAATTTCACAAAACTCTGGAACAACATATAGTACATGTAATAAAACACTTGCAGTGGTTCCAGTCAGACCCTACTGGTCCTTGTTTTCAAATGGAGAGAGGAACACAAATTTCCTTCCTTCCACTTTTATTGCCTGAAACCTCAAACTGGTGTAAAGCAGAGAATAAAGCCAGATTACGAGTGGGGTGAAATGATGAGTCTTTTTATAGAAAGAATGTGGAGGACTGCTCACTTTTTGTAAAGCTGTTTATGTAACAGCAGACAGCACTGTTCCACATGAAAGCCCTGTTATCGCATCACATCACTCCTCCTGCCATCTCACTCTGCTATGGGGAAACTATTTGTTCAGGTTTCTATTATTCAGAGACTAAAGAAAAACTTAGACCTGCTGCTGACCGTGGTACCGTTTAGATTTTCATAACCCTGAAGCCTGTTTATCCGAGCCGGATTAATGGGTTAGTAAACTAATCTGCTATGTTTCAGTATAGCACAGATGGCTCTTTTATTCTTAGACTGCAAAAAAAAAAAAAAAAGTCAAAGATGAATCATCTGACGTCACCTTCAGCTGTCTGTTTAATTACTTCTGCTCCCTGTTATCTTAGTCACCGCCGCCAGAAAATCTCAGTTGTGTGTAACTAAGAAGGGTCTTAATCTTTTATAAATTACTGGATTATTTGGCCTCTTATTGTTACAGTGTTAGTTTTATATTTGTTTGTATAAGTGCAATATTAGAAATAACCTGTAGTGGCTGATTAATGGATAATTGTGGAGTTTTTAGTGCATTTCCCTCTGAAATGAAGTAAAGAAGATGAATAATCAAGCTCAAAATTGTGTCACTTTATCACTTTCAGCCAAGCAGAAACATCCAGTGACGAAGAATCAAGACTGACTTCAGGGGACGATATATAAATGTTAGCATCTGAAGCAGTGTGTTATTGTTTCTGTCTGTTTCTGCAAACTTTAGAAAGGCACCTTTGACTCCGTCTTAGTTTCACCTCACAGCACCAACACCTTCCCTCTCTGTCTCTACAGCCAGAGAGCGCTCTGTGCTTCAAAGGGTTAACACTAAGAAGCACATTGTTGAATTAAAAAAAATAAAAAATAGTCAAACTCTTTTGGCACCCAAAGCTGTGTGGTTCAACATCTTCAAAGAGTCAAAGAAGAAGAAGAGGGCTTGGAGATAAAATTAAAAACCAAGAGACTGCAAGGCAAGTTTTGAAAATATGTATTTTGTACTTAGTTTATCTGTCGGTTTAAAGACAAAAAAAAAACTGGTGGTAAAAAAAAAGAACCTTATACTATAATTGATCTATTTCAGACTTCAGTATTTGAATGTAACACTGAATCCAAACTGAAAGTGAGGCTGAACATCCTGGTTACCTGGAGCATTTCCAGAGGGGTGGCCAAGGGTGGCATGGACCCCCTTTAAATCTTATTATTCACCCCAGGTGCAATCCCAAAATCCTGAACTATATGGTTGGCTATTTGTCTTGTCAGAGGCGGGACTCATGTATTTGCAAGCATTTTGTGTGTGTGTGTGTGTGTGTGTGTGTGTGTGTGTGTGTTAGAACACAGATTTCATCAATCAATCAATTTGTATTTGTATAGCGTCAACTCATAAGTGTTATCTCAAGACACTTTACAAAAGAGCAGGTAAAAAGACCTTACTCTTTGCTATAATTACAAAGACCCGGCCTATCATGACATCCCTTGTGTTAATCAGTGTACTTCTTGTGATGAAAGATACAACAGAAAACGCAAAAGTACTTGGTCTTTTTTCGATTCTCAGATTTTTTTAAATTTTCAAAATCCCTGCATAAGTCGGAGCTCCAGTTTAGCCAACCCAGAAAAAAAAATGTAATGAAAATGTGATATTTTGAAACTAGAACAGGTTTAACGACCATAATAGCGAAATACATTCTTAGTACATATATTGGTAAGATGGAGTTGTTTTGTTTTAAGATGCAGCGACTTCACCTGAAGGGGGGAAAAACAAAAGACAAGGCAACATCCGACAACTTGTTCTAATCTTTATATACATGATAATTAGTCACCAGTTACATTACACATATTTATATACTACAGGAACACAGATATTACAGGTACTCAACGAGTGTTTTACTGTTTTTTTTGTCCGTTTTTTTTGTTACCTAACCTGCATGTTGAAGAAGAGCCAATCGTGGGGTTTGTCTTTTTGTCCTGTGTACATTTGAACTAATGTGAGCCGATCGTTTCAAATGTTACAAACCTGCTGAGGAATGCAGAGAGAACTGAAATGTCCTGCCTCTTATCACAAGTCTGCTTTATTGAAAAGAAGACAGCGTCTCATTCATTTTCCCTGGATGTGAAGATCATTCGGCATTTGAACAAAAAAAAATGTGTGTCTGAAGTGAACCTTACCACAGGCAGCACATTACCACTCCTAATCTAATCCTCTATGGGAGAGGTGGATGAGACGCTGACTTCAGGACCTCATTATTGATGCTCTGTGACCTTTCAAGTATGGCTGACAGAACAACTATTTTCATTGCATCCTCCAGCAGAAGACAAACCCTCAGAGAGTCTTTTAATATAACGTCATTATTGCTTACAGAGAGAAAGAAAAAGCTTTTTTTTTTGTGTACATAGACACACAGTGCAGATTCATGGAGGGCTCTATAGTTAGACAGTGATTATGGGAGAGCAGAGCTGAACTTCTGCTTTGCTTTCGTCATCAGGGGAGGGAAACATCGGACTCAGAGGAACCTTAAGTGCAAGCAGAGCGTGAGTGAAGGGGGGGGGGACGTGGGTTTCACGAGCTTAGGTAGATGATTTACCACAAAGAATGATGGTAAATATTTTTTTTTTTATTGCTCATACAGTGACAACTTCTAGCGGTTCTGCAATAAGATGAGTAACACTGTATAGAACTATTTCACAGGGATTTGGTGAAAGCAACCCCCATGATGTCACACTCGTCACTGAGCAATGCTGACGACCCGCTGTGACACTACATCCGTGAGGTGACGCGATCGACAGTGAATCACAGAGGACAGAGAGCTACTGCTGCACTCACTGCACAGCTGCTCTCAGGTGTGGACACAAGTACAACATGCTTCAGTCTCTACAGAGCACATCTCTACAGTGTGAAAGCCAACATTTACAAAAAAAAAAAACAATCACAGATCTTGTTATGATGACAAATCGTCAAACTGTAAGAAGAAACACTTTTTATTTTTTTTGTCGTCAAACAACCTCAGGGGACATTTATGTCGGTCAGGCCGCCGCTTTGTCCTGATTGAAAAAACTCATCAACTATACTTGATGGATTTGTACCAATTTAAAGATATAATATGCAACATTTTAAACATAAATAAAGCTGATTCCAAATATATCCTAATTAAAAATATCATTGAGTAATGACTTCTAAAGGAGTGAAGTCAAACTCCCTCTGGGTTTGTTGTTGTCAGCTCTGTGTTCACACTCAGGCTCGCCGTTTGGAGAAGCATAATGACAGAGCGTAGAAACGACAGCACTCAATTGGATCACAGAGTGAGGGGGGCAGTGGAGGAGGGGAAGCTGTGCACTAAGGGGACAGCTTTGTTTTGGTCTGACAGACTGGTGTCAGTGCAAAATCTAATGGATATCAGCTCTGAAAGTCACATATTACACCTTTAAGTCAATCTTCTCTTTTCTAATAAGGGTCAGACTTTATGTTTGACCTAGAGGCTAATCTGTTTTAACCGGATTTTGATTTTGTTGTATTTTTTGTTGGCAGGGAATCGGATGACAACAACTCTCTCCGATGTTAAATTCAGAATCGTTTTACTCTAAAGCATCCATCCCAACATCTCTAGAGGTTAAAGTCTGTAAAACAGCAGCATGGTACTTTCAAAGCTTCTCCATAGACCAGATGAACAAAAAGGAGAACCAAAGAAGTCCTGAGATTTACACCACTTGGTCCATCATTGACTTTTGTGGAATTTTTTTTTTTATGTAAACGAGATAACTTACATAAACAACCTAAGTTGTTTATAACTATGGCTTAAGACTATAAGCAAAGCTTTGTCATTAAAACAAGATCCTGAATGAATTGTCTGTTTCCCTGTGGCATCACTGCTTAAGATTACTATTCTTCATGATCCGTGCTAAAGATCAAATCTGTCATTTACGCCGTTCAGTCACTCGTGTGTTCCTCGTCTCTACGCTAATCCTCTAACATCTGTAGAGTTGGAATGAAAACCTACAAGCTACTGATATCATTTGATTGGCAAAATGTTTTCGTTTTAAGGCTGGTACTGATACACAAAATTAAAATGGAAGCTGCAAATTGGAGGTACAGTATCTTAAGCCGATATTTATGATCTTTATGTTTATTCTCCCCAGATTTGTATTCACATCAGGGCACGAAAGCAGTGTTTAACAGCAGCTAGACCACGATAGGACACTATAACTCTCCAGTGAAAGCCAGACTGGTTCAACACCTTTTATATACTTTAGCAGCTCTTAAAGGCAGAGGCAGGGTTAATAGACTGATGCCCCCCAAAGCAGTTCAACAACATCACATCTCCACCTCTTGCTGGTGGGAGATTTGGGACAGTCCAACATCTGACTGTTTAAAGTCATTATCTTCCAACAACCAGGCCTTGTTGAGCATGGATTAAAACCACAGATTTACAAGACAGAATTATTATATGTACACTTCTCCAGCACTCGCTCAACTCACAATAATGACTCATAATATACATACGCTTCCGTGCCTTAGTGAATATATGAAATGACAGTGATTCCATTGTTCTTAATGCTTCATCTTCTTCTGGTATCAACAAGCACTTTTAGAGATAGTGAGGCGTGTTACTTCCACGAATGGATCCAGTGGCTTTAGTTATTCGAGTGTCTCGACGGTAGGCTACATTCCTCTTTGATAGAAGCCCCCGAAATAAAAAGGTAAAATCTCCCAAAGAAAACGCCTCCTCATGTCGACCCACTTCACTGAGTCTCCGAGGACGCTCTGGGACACGGGGTACATTCTGCTCCACTGGCAGTCTGATGCTCTTCACTCGTCGGTCCACAGGATGGTTAACAGGGTGGGCTGAGGTTGGGGGGGGGCGTTGATGAGTCTTCATAACTAGTGGGGTGGGGTTTGGAAAGGTTTTGATCTCACACCTCGTGGGTGTTTCATCAGGAAGAGATCAGGGCTGGAGAATGGAGGAATGAATATCAGAACCCAGCCGTAAACATAACTTCTGATATTTGGAAATGTATTGCATCATCAAGACTACATCACTGCATCTCCAACAATGGCATCATCGATGTCATAACGTATAGGAATGTTGGGAACAATTCAAAGGCCTGTTCAGTAAACCCAACCCCCCAAAACAACTGTCCAATTACATTTACAATGAAGCTAAGCACAGCAGTTATGTAATACTTAAAAAAAATGGTATATAATGAGTTTTGAGGGTCTTTCAAACTCCAAAATACCACATAAAAGGGTAAAAAGGTAAATTTTTTGGTTGAACAGTGTTTGTCTGCTTTAATATAATCGCAAAAACCCCTCAATTTCCAGCTAACTGGCTAACTGCACTAAGGAGCCAATCATTATCATTACTACAATGTTCGTGAAATTCAAGTAGTGTTTAAAAACGCCCCCAAATTAAACTCATCCATAAACTGTGTAGTATTTATCTACAGCATGGAAGCCAATCCTATATCCTAATGTTATCCACTGAAAGGTTAGCTTCTCTGTTCGGATTTGTGAAGTTTACATTTTAGAAACCTCAGCCTAGTGTTTTCTTCGCTGCTTGTCAAAGCAAAAAAAAAAAAAAAAAAAAGCAAACACCATTTGTTTCCTTTAGCTTAGCGTCCAAACTGGGTTATGACAAAGCTGAATCTGTTCTTGTATTTTTCCTTTCCATACCGTGAAGTTTGAAGTACTGATGATAACTAGCTCTACCTTCATTAAAAGACAATGCTACGCCTTCCTCGTCGTCTGTGAATCATTAGCTAGTAAGGATGCTAGCTTTTAAACTAACCTTGATGTTTTGCCTCTGTTGTTCAGCCTTATTTCAAGTATGTAGCATGAACCGTGTATTCAGCATATTAAGATACGTTAAAAAGGTCATCTTGTTTAAAAATCACAGATCTTTTACCAACTCTTTGAGCTTCGGTCAATCAGACAGCTAGCTAATTTGATCAAGTATGCTAACGACAGGGGAAATGTGAGGCTACTTTGATGGACATGGTGTGAATAGTTAACACGTCGAAGGTGAAATTCATTTGACGTTTGAGTCCCAAATTTGTCAAAATTTTGTTGCAAACGTGAAATGTGCTGCGCAAGAACGGAATCTAAGATCTGCATAGCAACCGTAAGTGGGCGGGGCTTAGAGAACAGTCATTGAATATTAGATAAAGAAAAGAGTAACGGGGTAGCTCAAGAAGTTTCAACACATTGATTGATAAAGGGCAATTGTGTTACTTTAAGAACGTACGTAAAGTGAGGGGACTTTGGGAATAGGGGTCAGGGGTACTTATGATTCATTTATGTGGCACCGTTGGTTAATAATCATTAAGTATGGTTAGATACAGTAATGTTATTATGTTACACATTCAAAAGTAATGTCTTTTCAAATCAGTCTCACAATGTTAACTAGGATATTTTATCACATACATTAGTAAGAGGATAAATATTTGATTATTACACAGTTGTTATTATAGAAACACTTCATTTGGGACTATCTTCCATATTTGGTGTCAGATTCATTAAACCTATAACTATCAACGTCAAACAGTTTTTTTTATGGCTAGGTGTTTTTAGTGAATGCAGTTTGAGTATAAAGAGGATTTTAAACATTCCTGTGACTTTCTTACATAACTAACACTATCAGCAACGTGTTAGACAACATAACGGGGCACGCCATTGGAAAATCTGGATCATATCAGTGAAAGATTCAATTATAAAACACTTTGAGGCCATTAGAGCCCGCTTCAGTGGATTACTCTGACAGAGGGTGCTATCATGTGTTTGGTGATGATGGGATGATTTGCTTTGTTTTAGACAGTTGTTGAACCACAACTTTTTTACAGACAGATAATAAGCCTGCTGTTTTACGTCAGGCTTTTTTGTTTTGTTTTTAATCCAATAGACAATGATTCTTAAAGGACATTTTTACAATTAATCTACTCACTTTCTGCAAGAGAAGGTTGGTATCATTTTCATGTAAATAGCTCGTTAGCTTAGCTTAGCACAAAGACTGAAAACAGTCTTTATGCTAAGCTAAACTATCAAGCTCTGCCCAACGGTACTAACGAGAGAGTGTGCGTGAGATCATGAGGGTGTTGTCAATCTCCTCAGCTTACTCTTGGTATAAAACACATTTAAATTAATAATCAAAACTGTCTATTCTAATAAAATTCATGTAATAAATGTCAGAGAGTGATACTAATTTGACCTGACTGAAAACACAATCTAGACTTGTCCTTTATGGAGATATTTAAAAAGAATGCATACTTAATAATTATATTGTATTTAGGAGGGAGGCTTTGGAAACACATATGTGATGCAATTTACTTGTTTTACTCATCAAGCCTTCTGGAATAAATACCTCTGTTCAGTGAGTTTTAAGACAACTTAAATACACGTGGAATTCCTTCAGTACAGTATGTGGTCAAACTATCAACTATAACAATTTTTAATACCCCTCCTTCCAAACAAAACGTTATTAAGGAGAGTCTCCATCTGGATGCTGGACTACATGATGCATTTATTCAGGTAAGTGACTGCTAATCTTTTATAATCCGATGGTAAGTGCTTTTATCTGAAGACAAATTGTGGCTGTGTAATGGCTGGGGCATTGACTGTATGAGACGGAGAAGAACAGCATGTGCCTTCAGTCTTACAAAAAAACAGGAGCCAACTATTGTTCAGGCCTCCTCCATGAACCTTATTCATCTGTTACCGAAGGATTTGTCAGGGGGCAAAGAAGCAAGCTATAGTCCATTAGCGTTTTATCTAATGCTTGGTCGTTCCACATTCGCACAGCAAGACAAACGATGGTGTGTGTAACCTCACCCTGAACCTGGTCAACATTCAATGCAAGAAAAGAGGGCTGTCCATTTTCTTGGACATGCAGAACATGTATGTAACTGCATTTTTCCAGTGATGATACACACAAGTAGTTTGTGTTCTTCTGGTTAAGGGGAGTTTTTGAGGTTTAGTCTGGGACCTTTAACTCCATTAAAAATTCCACCTCTGTGCTGAAACCTCACAAATTACTACCAGTTCTACCCTTTAAACCAAACTTACTAACACTGTTGTGGCTAAAAAGGTGATGCCAAGTTCTAATGTCTAAATGAAAACCATCAAGAAGAGAGTAGGCTGTTATTTCACCACATTCAATCATGTTCAGATGTCACATTTGGGTGCAATGTTCAGCGGTCCTGATAGTTTTGTTTCTGCAGATTCTCGAGCGCAACAATTTTGCTCTACAACACCTCTTTGTCTTTCACAAAAACATAATGTGTGTGGAACAACCAAGCATTAGAATGAAACATGGGTTCAGACTGAAATCAGCTGAACTTTTTCCTTCCTCTCAACTAAAGATCTTCCGTTGTCCAACAGAGACTCAGTGCTGGAAGTGCAGGTTGATAAATTATGGTCATTACTGAAAACATCGCATCAACCTGCACATTCAGCTCACATGGTCACAATGGAGAGGATGCAGTTTTACACTTTACCTAAAACATTAAGGAGCAGGGCGTGTGTTTAGTGGGCCAGCTTACATTTGGAAACACTTTGGCTTAGGACAGAGAGCATCATTCCTCCAACAGAGAATCAATAATAACGTAAGGACTGCAGGAACGACCTACTATCAAAGAAATATGTGTTGTTGAAGGCAGAGGTTGTCGAGTGGGATGAGGGGCAGGGAGCAGGACTGAAATAATGAAGGGGGTGGTTTGGTCTGGGTCACCTCTTCAGATGGTGGCATTGTTGGGCAGGTGAGGCACTGCCACCCCAGGCCTGCAGTTGGAGTAGCGCTGCATTTGCGGCACTAAGTAGCCAGATGGCAACAGGCCTAACAGCTCCTTGGTTGTGCCTGGCCACCTCCGGCTCCGTCGGCGGCTACCATGATCGGGCCTGTGGCTTTGCCTCACTGCAGGGCCTAACAGCATGGCTGTCTGAGGCCACAGCGGGTCCGTGAAGCTAGACGTGTTGAGCTCATGAAAGGGGATACAGGACCTGTGCCTCAGTGGGCGTTTCCCTCGGTAGATATGGGAGGTTGTGAAGATGTTGGAGCTAAAGAAGGAGCTGAGCTGACGTGAGCTGCTGGTCAGGGAGATGCGGCCCTCCAGCGACGGCCCCAGCAGGCTGAGGCTGGTTCTGTCCGTGAACGAGTCTGTTCGGTCTTCGTAGGCCAGGTCAGCGGGGGCGGAGCACTGCTGCAGGGGCCAGCCGCCGCGATTCTTACCCCCGATGTCCGCAGTGCTGCCTGCCTCACCAGCCTCACGCTCTACCCTGACTGCCTCATCCTCCTCTTCCTCCTCCCCTTCCTGTCCCTCTTCTTCCACCTCAGCCCCCTCCTCCTCCACCTCACCTTCCATCACACCCTCCTCCTCATCTGTGCTGGTGGGGAGTGGGGAGCGCGGGTCCCGTAAGAACACCACTATGACAGTGATGTTATCACTAGAGCCTGCGTCTCGGGCAGACGCCACCAGCTTGTGGGCAACCATGGTGGTGTCCCCGCTGTTCTCTTGGAGGTGATCGCTGACCACCCGCACCGCCTCGTCTGGATTTACTGTGTCCCAGAAGCCATCACAGGCCAGAATGAGGTAGTCCTCTGTACCGTCGAATGGGAAGATACCGTGGTCTGCATCACCACAGATGTAGGGTTTATGCTCCGAGTCACCTGTCAACAGCAGGAACAGGTTATTCTGTGAGATCCTGCTCATACTGTTTACTGTAAGAGAGCTATATACTACATCTGGTGGTCTGAGCGTCTAGTTTACCTATTGCTCTGGATACAGACAGACTGCCGTTAACCCTCCATGTGCCAAACCAGATCACACAGCCTCCCAGAGCCTCGATCCTCTGCTTCTCATCCTGCAGACAAACAATTAAGAGAAGTTGGCTGTCACATGCTACAGACAATGTAATACTGCCATTCCCTAAAAACCAGATTAAGTCCCTGACCTGCCTGTGAATATAAAGTGATAGTACTCTCATGTCTGCTATATATGTACATATGCTGTGTTTGGGTTCACAGTGCTGCAGATGAAATTTCCAGCAAATTCTGAAAACAACAGGAAAGGGAAGCAGTAGTGGGCATGTGTAAGAGTGTTACCTCTCGGTCTGGTTTATGTGGTTTCATGAGCTCCACAACTTGTTCTTTTCTGACCAGAATGACCTGCGAGTCTCCCAGCCACGCCACATACAACGTCCGGCCCCGCAGGAACGTCACCACACCGGTCGTGCCACAACGTAGGTGCTGCCAAACACAGTAAAGTAACAGTATTCATAGCATTAGAGTACTACTAAATATTGATCCATTAGGGAAAGAATAAACACAGATAAAACCAACAGGAAGTAGGAACATTAGATGTTGTTTGATGTAAGATTGGTAGCATTAGTAGCAGTGATAATAGATGTAGCGTCGGTATTTAGTGACAGCTGTTTTGGTAGTAGCTGTGTAAGTAGCAGTAGGAGTACTGGTAACAACACAGCAGTAATAATGACATGAGTTGTGGTAGTGTTACTTTGTAGTGTGTAGTACGTCAGCAGTACAGAAACAGAAACAGTAACAGGACGCTGAAGCTGCAATACAAGTTAAACTACAAGTCACAGCAGTAGCAGAAACATTTGCACCGACAGTCCCATATTAGTTACCACTTACTGTACACAAATCAGTACTGTAGCAGTCTGAGCAGTGGTAGTAGTAGTAGCACAAGTAGATGACAGTAGAAATGTAGCAGTATTAGTACTGATGCCCAAGAAATGCTTCTAGCATTATTAGCAGCTTTCAGACCGCTTTTCCATAGTTCTAGGAACTGTTGGAACCCTTCCCCTTTTTTATCGACTCTGCACCACAGGATCTATGAACTATTTTATGTACTAGAGGAATACTTTAGCTCCTACCTCAGAGTAGTTACTATAGCGGTGTGAATGCAGACAGAAAGAAGTCCCTGTGATGTGTAGTTCTCAGGGAACTCCTTAGTGGATAGTTCCTCTTCAAAAAGTCCCCAGAACTGTTTGATCTGAAAACACCTATGGTAACTATATCATAAAGAACTGTTTAGTTCTGGAGCTTTATCAGCAATAGTGTGACTAATAGTTGCTATAGATAAAGTAGACAGTTCTGTCTTTACCACTATCAAATAACTCATCAAATGATACGATACAATGGCCGATGCGATGAACGATAAGAATAGCGATACATGGCCCATGATAACCATAACAACATAATAACGGACAATCCTGTGATAATTGTAAGATATTCATATAATAATTCATCATGATATCTGATTATCTGGAGAATATAAAATTACCCTGAAAAAGTAAAGTGCAGGATTTATGGATTTATTTACTGCAATTTGGTGTGAGTTTCACCTCTTATCCTGCTTCATCCTTTAGATTCTTTTCACAGCTGTTCTGCATTATACCACTGTCTTCTTCTTCTTCTTCTTCCTTTACTCTGCTGTCAACTTCTTCTTCGGTCATTTAATTTCTGCTCACGTCACACTCATTCATTTCATAAGTACCAAAGTGAGGAGTCATAAAGTAGGAACATGGGGAGTCAAATTGGCAGTGAAATCTGCTAAGTGCCAGTTTGTTTTATGAGAGTATCGATATTTGGCACCAGTGATTCGATAATTGTATCACACGAGTCAGGTTGGTGATAAATTGCTGTATTGATATTTTGTCCCGCCCCTATTTACCACCGTCAATAACTATGAACGTGTTTGTTTGTTTGTTTGTTTGTTTGCAGGTGGGGTTACCTCTCTGGAGGCCTTCTTCACAAAACGCTCGTCTGTGACCTTGAACGCTTTGCAGAGCGCCTCGATCGGGTCCTGGTTGAAGGACTCCTGCTTAACTAAGTTGACGTGAAGATGGTTGGCGGCATAAATAGCAGCGTCAACGCCGCCATGGCCGTCAAACACAGCAAAGTAAGCCTGTTCCTCCAGATCCTGAGAGACAGCAACAGTCATGCAGTAACTTCAGCAACACTACAAGAGTAATTCATTTAAAAACTTTGATATATAATATTCAACACATGAACACCAAAGATCTGCAGTTAGTGAAGAAAGCGATGAAAAATGTGAATCCGTCTTAAAACGAGATTTCAATGCATTCCTGAAATAAGAGACTGAAGATAAATAATACAAATTATAATCCACAGATAATCGATGATGCATTCTGAAGGATGAAGGTCAGACATTATTGACCCACAGGAGTTTACCAGCTGTGGTTTTTACCGTCTATTATCTGTACCACTTACCCTGTTAATGGACGAGGGGGGGGGGAGCTATCATTGGCTGAGAGGAAAAGTCTGTGTCTACCTGAATGTTGAAGAGGGAGTTGAAGTCGGGGATGATGACGTGCTTGTCCTCCATCTTGCGCCTCATGTTCTTGATGGCGTGTATCGACGTTTCGTAGTACGGCTGTGGGCGGCGGCGGTAGGGCAGATCCTTCAGCCACAGACAGCACATATCAAACAGTCTGTTGAAGACCAGGCGGGCCAGCTTCACAGACTCGATCTCTAACACACACAAACACACAGAATCAGTGTACAGATAACTAAGTCATAGCAGCACTTTGTAGGTTGCTGCCAATTGTCTATTTAATTGAATGTTTTGTTGTATTTCATACAGCTGCACGCTTTAAAACCGGGACCTGAGTACCTTATTTTGTTCCTTCACATGTTTCTACATGGAAGAATAAAAATAAATTGATAAAATTCACAAATACATTTTTCTATCAACCGACTGATTCATTTGATTATAGTTGAAAATTATAGTTATTTTAAGTTTGATTTCTATTAATTCCACTTTGTCTTCTGTTCATTTGGAAGGTGGTTTTATGGGGTTAACTTTTAGGTTTCAGGAGGAAGAGGATTTTTCTGCTGCGTCAAAAATCAGAAATGTGAAAAGTCCCCTTGCCCGCCATAGTTTTGTCCCTGAGGATTGTAAAACCAACAGGGACGTGTTTTACTTTTCCAGAAAGGCAGATGTCATTAAGAGTAAGTGGAACAGAGGCAAACCCAGAAGTGGCTTCCACTCTCTGTTATAAAAAAAACACAAAGAGGTGTGTGTGTGTGTGTGTGTGTGTGTGTGTGTGTGTGTACATGGGCTTGACCCACTAATGTTCGCTGCAGGATAAAAAGTCTATCCTGCCTTTGTCAACTTCCAATCTCTCACTCTGTTCTCCCAAATATTGTACCTGTGAGGTAGAGACCGACCTGCCTGTCTCATCCCCTCCCTTCATCTTTCACCACAAACACTAAACTTCACCGTGTGTTCACACTGTGCCGCCCCTCCCCCTCTGAATCCTAATGATGTTTCAACACTGTGTGTCTGCGATCAAGGACTACCCATAAGACCTCGAGATATAAAACGAACAGTAGAGTGCAGTGAAGCAACATCAAACAGGATGCGATCAGCTGTTACACAACACAAGACGCTCTTACTTTGAGAGAGAGAGAAAACACAGGGAGGTGCAGAACAGTTTTAGCTTCCATCCAAGTCCATCAAAATTAAAACAGACTGCACAACAGCATGATTTATTCAGCAGGTATTTTTTTTTTAATTACACCAAACTGAGAAATGCAAGATAACCAAAGATGTTTGTGGTTTAAAAATGGATTCAACAGATGTCATCAGTTCATGATGACGTGCACAATCCAAGCAGATTCATTATTTATTCATCTGTTATTGTAATTCTTTATATTCTGGGATAAACCAGTCATCCCTGTCCCGCCTGCAGCTGGTCCAAAACCGACAACACGGCTACTGACTAAGAGGGAGCATATCAGTCCTGTCCTAGCATTCCTTCATTGGCTCCCAATATTTCAGAATCCACTTTAAGGTAGCGCTGTTTGTTTTTAAAGCCCTGACTGGCTTCGCTCCCCTGGACATTACCGACCTCCTTAGCCCTTATCCCCCCATTATCTTGGCCCCTTAACATCGTCCGACATGGGCCTCCTGGTTGTCCCTCTCTCACGGCTCAAAGGTGACCGTTCCTTTGCAGTCAAAGCCACTAAATGGTGGAACAGTCTCCGCCTTCAGGTCTGCCCCCTCTGTCGACTCTTTGCCCCAAAACATATTTTTAATATGTTGGCATAAGAGTCCTGTGGTCCTGACTAGGCCGCTTCTATCATGTTTTTTCTTATACATGTTGTAAACTCCTGTTAATAGTTTCTTTAATGCATTGTGCAGCACAGTCAGCTGCTCCTGTTTTTAAATGTGCTCAATAAAGAAATGTGACTAATGACTAATCTCTGGCAATAAACCTAGCACTGATTTTAACTCGTGTGTATTTAAAGTAACAAACATAGCTGTATTAGGGCATCACTATGATACAAACATGTTCCTGTTGACTATTGTAATAAGTGTACCCTTGCCCGTGGCAGATGAATTTCCAGTACATCCTGGCTTTTAGCTGTGAGTACATCTGTGAGTCGACTTCCTGCCCTCTAGCGGTCAAACACCACTTAATGCAGCTTTGCGTGGGAGAACTGGGACAAAGCCCTGGTGGTTTTGTGGCTGTGTATGTGTGGGATGAAGCGAGTGAGAGAGAGACCTAATTTGTCTGTTCCTCTATATATACTACATATATATGTGTGTGTGTGTGTGTGTGTGTGTGTGTGTGTGTGTGGGAGAGGGAGAGCAGTCTCGTGGGCTCCCTAGGGGACTCACGTGGTAATGGGTCAGCTCCATCTTCCACGGTCTTGGTGAGGTGGTGGATGGAGAGGTCAGTCTGCAGGAGGCTGTCTGCTGTGGCTCTGGCGAGGGCTGCGGCCAGGGAGCATGGACAGTTACTGTGGAGACGAGACACCGCACAGTTATGAATGGTTCGGAAAGAAAATCACATCACAGCCATCCTCTGTGGAGATCAACAATGCCTTTTGTTTAGCCAGTTTATTTGATTATGTTAAATGCTATTCTTAGAGCATCATCAGAAGACATGGCAGTTTTCACCTCCGCCAAGGAGGTTTTGTTTTAGCGGCCTTTCGCCTCTTTGTCTGCAGGATTATGAAAAAATACTGGGCACATAAAACTTGTAAAGGGAGTCATTGCGCTAAGGAGGGAAGTATTGAATTCTGGCACAGATCTTACAAACAAACAAAAAAATGCACTTCACTGATGTCTTCATTAAAGTTACGATGCGGTGCGGGTGTGGAGTAAACACCTCTAAAGATAAATGCACAGGTGAGATGATGACTCTTCAGCATGGCACAGCCGTATCCACTTGTATGTGATGATGACTTTTCTATTTGGACGTTAAAGAAGCCTGGATTATCAGCCTTAATGGCGGTTTGCCCTCTTGGAGCGACCTCTCGTTTGTTGGTTGTAAGAATGTTTGCTAATAACTAATAAATGCATCACACAAGCACCGAAGCAAAGAGGTGTGAACAGCTCTACTATTCGCACCTCTCTCGTGTGTGTTAGCATGCTAACTATCTAATTAGTAATGCACACAAAGTAGAGCTTTAACGTGGTGGATTTACATCAGCTGTGAAGGTATTGAAATAATAAATGAAATATAAGAAAAGTGAAAACTGCCAATAACTATCAGTCCAATCGCCCCCTTAAGAATGCATCCTTCTCTGAGACATGGAAAATGTAAATGAGCCCTCCCACCAACATTTTAAACATTTTTTACTGCTTTGTTTTTAGGACTTCCTGTGAACGTGCAGATCTCCCGTCAGCTGGAGGGAGCTGGTGCCAGTGTTCCCTTGAAGAGTGTTAAACTGTGATATAACGGCTCTGTCTGAGCGCAGCGGCACATCACTACATCTGGCCAGAGCTGCCGTGTGCCGGGGGAGGAGGCGTGTCTATTCTTAAGGTTAACGACAGTGTTGGGGAGGAGGAGGAGGGGGAGGAGGAGGAGGAAGAGGAGGAGGAGGAGGGGGAGGAGGGGGAGGAGGGGGAGAAAGAAAAAAAAAGAGGAAGAGGGGGGTCATTTGAAGGACTGTAAGCTTGCCGGTACATGAGTCACCAACATAACTAGGTCACCTCCAGATGCAGGTAACCATGGTAACCAAACTTCTAGATGTTCTCCCTCACATTCAAATTAAGTTGAAAATAAACCAGAACTGAACTGATCGTGTCTTTATTAAAGAGTGAGGGCCAACGCTCCCTTCACTGATGAAATCTAATAAAAGACCGTCAAATATTTATTCATGCTGCCCTGGATAAATATAATAATCTGCAGCAAGTCATACTTAAAATCCTTTTTCTTCATGCATTTATGAATTTAAAACTTCAGACTGGAGAAATGCGGTTTTATTGAAAAGCTTGATGCCGGGCAGCAGTTCTGTCCTGCGCCGCGTTTACAGAGGTTATAGTCTTCAAAGAAGGCGGCCAGGGCTGCATCTTATTCCCCTCTCTCTCTCTATTTCTCTCTCTCTCTCTCTCTCTCTCTCTCTCAACCTAGTTTCCAACTGATCTGCTGCCCGATCCTCTACTAAATAAAGGCATTCAAAAAATCACAAAAAAGCTTGTTTGCTCATGTTTGAAATATTTGAAACAACAGTTCATAATGTAGATTCATGTCAGGAGAGAACATGAATCTTTGAGTCTCACCTTTTTGCATGGCAGAGTTTTCAGGCATTATAATAACTAAATAAATTGAAATAGTCAATCTGGGTGTATTTTTTGCTTTTATAGGTCAGAAGGAGACAGCAATAAAAATAAGTCATTTTCATCATCAGCTAAAACATCCTCACCGAGGCTAAAGGGGGAAACAACACAAGTAAGTCGAGCTGCTTTGAGTTTGAAGCTGATATTTTTTACGTTATTAAATGTTTACACGCTCATGTTAAGTAGATTAGTATTGTTTTAGCTTAGCATGGTAGCACACCCCTTTTACAATCAGCACTACACTAAATGCAAAGTTTAGCTGAGGCTGATGGGAATGTCAATAGGACCGCTTTTTAATGTTATCCTGATGGTGCGAGATCCAAGAGTTGCAGGGTTACCAAAATAATTGTGGCCTAGTTGTTAAGTTCTCACGCCCCATGTACAGAGGGAGGGAAGCCCAGATTTGAATCCGACCTGATGGTCATTTGCCGCATGTTTGCCCCCCCCCCTCCTCTTCCACTGTCCTGTCTCTCTAATAAAACGCCCTAAAATAAATGGAAAAAATAATAAATTGGCCCGCAGCAAAATATGAATGCCTGCACTAAATGTCCAGTAGCTGGTTCTACTTATAGTGACATGAATGAATGCTAACCACATAGTCCCACAAGGGGAACCAGTCAGGGAATTTCCAAAGTCACCGGGATTAATCTTCCATTCAGTCATCGGTGAAACATTTCCATCTTTACCAAAAATGCAGCAACAACAGATTCACCAACAGCCTGACCCGTGCATCGAGCTACATTATTGTAACAGAACAGATAAAAACCTGGACATGATTTATAATGATGAAAAAAAAACGGTCCCAACCCCCACCTAACACAATTTCAGTGGATGTTATAAACTATTTTAAACACACCCTCCATTCTGAAATAAGAACCACAACTTCCTTCAACTGTGCCGTTCATAGATTTGAACACAACACAACCTTTTAATACTTCCTCATGCAGCTCCATATTCATTTACACGCAGCAGTGTTGCAGCTTAATCCTCGAGGATAAACCGAGTAACAAGCCAGTTAGCATGATGTTTCATATTGGAACAGTCTCTGCTCGGCATTTAATTTAACTGAATAAATGAACAGGGATTGTCTGAGTGCAACACAGGGACACACTGAACAATTAAATACTTAGTGTTAAGTGGGAGAGGGCTTCAGTGACTCCTCAGTGAAATGAGATGAGTTTAATCAATTAAAAAGCAAAAACCAACAGCAGCCAGCGTTAATATCTTTAATGAACACCGCTCTTCTCTGACTGAGACGCCCACACTACACGAGGGTGGATTCTAAATCATTTCTAAACATGTGGACAGACACTGACACATTTCTGACACATATGAGAGACGTTAATGTTTACACAAGCATCAGAGACTGCTTTAAGTTATTAGTGTTGTTGGACAAACTAATTATTCACTCATTAAATCATTCTTGCATAAATGCTCTCTGTGCTTTTCCATTAGAAGTCCAAACTAAAAAGAGGAAGTCACAATCAGCCCACACAATCATGTGACATAATACAGTCTCTAAACTTGTTTTTGTTACCGAACACTCCTCTTTATGGAAAGAAAAAAAAACACGACTTAAAGCATATTTACATCTTTAAAGAGAGAACAGAAACACTTCAGGGAGCATTAAGCAAGTTTGAACCAAAACTCTTTAAAAGAACATTTTCATCCCAACAGAATCAGTTAAAAAGACCATATATACAAACCAAATATAAGATACATGAATACAGTAAAAGACAAGAATGTCATGTAATTCACCAAAAATATAGATACTTTGAAAAAGTTATCTTTTATTTAGTTTATATCTTTATTATTTGGGAGAGATTTTACTGAAAGACAATTAAGTGCTTTGACATCATTTTGAAAATGATTTTTTTTAACTGGAACGATTTTCCTCGACTGAATATGCTAATGAGAGACACAACAAAGCTGAAGATTGACCTTCAAACTGTCACTAAATTATTTTCATTTGTACAAAATAAAGATTTACATATGACATTAACAAACTCCCTGCCTCCTTTTTTTTTTTTTTTTTTTTTTTACACAGGACCGGATTAGCCATCGACTAATTAAGGCCACCAAAGTGATTGAATGTATCTTGTTCAAAGAAATGTGTTTCCTTTTAGATGCATAGTAAAACTAGCTCTCTGTATACGACATCATACTGTATGGAGGAGTGGAAAGCAGAGCTTGAGCTAAATATCTGGGAGAGAGAAAAGAGATGTGATCAAGTGATGCAGGAGGGGGAGGGTCTAATATTTGGGTTTATTCATCTCAAGAGTCCTCTCCTCCATGTTTCCATTCATAGAAACTATTTTGCTCCTTCTCTCTCTCTCTCTCTCTCTCTCTCTCTCTCCTCACTCGTTTTACCACTGGCTGCCCTGTGGGGGTGGATGCTGAGCTGAGGCGCTCTGATTGGCTGCAGGTCACACAGGAGAACGCGCCGTGCACCAATGGCAGCTCCTCGTGGCTTGTGCATCACGGTGAGGTCATGTGGAGCGGAGGAGGATTAAAAGGGAGCTTAATCTTGGTTCACACTATCACACTGCAACAACACGACTGACGGCCAAGATGCACAACCAGCACTGGTTTGACTGGAACGACTGGGCCTCTAATCAAGAATTAGGGCTTACGTTCTTTTTATATCCTCATTTGAAGGCTTCTTAAGCCCTATGTCATTATGAATAATATAAATAACCATATAGTGAAAATGAATGTAGACTTAAATTATGCAGCATCATAAAACCACAAAGAAAGACCTCAAATCAACCAAAGAAATATTTGTAATTTTTCCATCCATGAGGGGACAAATGTGACGCTGCATGAAGGTGTTTCTGTTTTGTAGTTTCCATCTCTTGTATGCTTCATATGATGGACGACCTCTAAACTTTTCAAAGGACAAACTGGTTTACACACTGTATGTGTTAATGTGCGTTACACGTACAGATGCTAGAGATGTCACAGCTCCTGCAGTTTAGCCACTAACGTCACCTGCAGGAGCTCAGTGTTAAAGACTTAGTTTTCTTTACATAGCCAAATTGTGAGCGTGCCTTTTAGGGCTTTCCATATTTCCGACTTGAGAATAATTCTGTTAGGGTGTCACTGTGTGTCCTTGTGGTCTATTTTTTTAGGGTGTCACTATGTGTCCTTGTGGTGTATTTTTTTTTTAGGGTGT